GCTAACAATTGTCGTTACACCGTCAGTACATGTTTTTGAAAATGTTTATTATATGATCATTTTGTATTGTCGTTGTTCGTGTTGGGGAGCTATAAATTACACTCTACGGTCGTGTATGGGCAATGACAATAATTAATATTTAGCGACCGCAGTGATAAATTGATGACCATCGCGTGAAACTATTATTCATTTTCACGGCTCGCTGCCGCTATTGGAAGGCCCAATTTCACAACTATATGTTTCTATACACATACATTTGACAATTTAACCTAAACTTGTCAAAGTGAAATTTTTAAAACATTAAAAATAACAAAAACAATCGTATTTATCAGGTTGGCCGTGAACATATTTTATGTTAAAAGAAATAATACCAAGTAATGGTCAACGCTACAATGAAGTTTTATTTGCCACAACTGGTCGGTAAGTATACACATACATATATTATTTTAATAATATATCGTCAGCCTATTTAGCAAAGGACGTATCTCCAAAAAAAAAAAAATGAATTTTCGGTAAATTACACTATTTGAAAGAAAAAAAAACTGTGCGTTGGCTGGTATATTAATGATTATATTTCAGTGTTTTTTCCTTTTAGTGTGAAATTTGGTATTTTGGAGTTACGCCCATTGCTAAATACGCTGACGATATGTCATACTTACAATATGTTGTTCCACCCGCCAGTGTTTTTTATCAAAAATATAATGTCCTATTTGTAACTTGGCCATGTTTACACGACCACGTGTGTTATAGACCGAAATTCTGTATCGATTAAAATAATATTGTTTCCATGGAGAACATATCGGCTGTCTATTACCTGTGTACACTCTTGTAATGTTGATTTACAAAAAGCGGCGGCAGCTGTTGCCTTTTCTGCCAATAAACCCAATCGGGGTGGTTTTATTTGGTGCGAAAACGTTATTTTTGCTACTAAATTAAACACACACACTATAATATTATAAGTATTGATATTTTAAATTCATTGTCCCGTACACGCGCCCCTTGTTAAAGTTGGATCATTGACAATCGGCCACGGGCAAAACGTTCTATTCTGCGCCGTATTAAAATTGATCGAAAAATGCATTATGTGAGGTACACGTGTTATGCTTGTTTAGTGTTTATCGTTAGCACAGTGTGTAAGATAAAGATTAGAAATCGTTCTAAACACGTTGTTGTCGTTTAATAATACTATGTTATTATATTCAACATTATAGTCTTGACTCTCGACTTTGTTAAAGGTAACGTTAATTAATCCATGTCCATGGTGTATTAAGCCTTTTATGACGGCGCATAATGTATGCAAAATAGGCACACAGGAGTATCACACAGAAAAACGCCGCAGGTTATTCAGCGGATTCTCATTTCTCACTAACATAATATATTATATACATTATGTCATATATATATATATTCGTAGTAGTATTTGGAATATACTAGAGCTACCGATTACACGTGTAACACGTGTAGTTCGAATTGACATGTAGAATTTCGTGTAATTACAAACACGTGTAGAAGTTCGTGTAGTTATAAGTAAGTTTTAGTAAGACCTCTAAGTTTACGTGATATTGTTCTTTAATTAATGGTTGTCACTAAAATAAAATATTATACCCAATTAAGAATACAATCAGTAGAAAAAACAATTTTTGCACAATCGAAATTTCAATTTTTTAGAAATAAATTCAACCGAGGGGGTAATTAGAGGTATGGCCTTTAAAAAATCTTATATGTCCATTGATACATGTTACAAAACATAAGTGATCTATTTATTTATTATTTTCATATTTACAAAGGACATGTTATGCGGGCCTACGATCTTAAGGTTAACGAAATAAATAAGGGAACACAACCCTTGTATGTATTATGACTTATTCGTACAATAGTTAATTGAATAAATGATATTTTATTTACAATATTGAATCTTTTATTAATGATACCCATGATACATTGATTTGTTTAAGTCTGTCTAAAATGTAAAAAAAAAAAAATTATTAAATGTGTATTACTGGTCTCTAAAGACCAACCGTTACCTTATTTGTCTTTGTGTAAGTTATTAAGTAGATATTAGGAATTCGGTTTGCAATAATAAGACCTACGGAATAGTGAATACTGTCCATCAGCAATTTGAATTTTATGTTTATTTTTTATACAAATAGGATAACGCCAACTGTCCAAATAAAGTAGGTATAAGTTGTTTAAAACGGGCAATGTAACTGAAAGAAATAAAAGCTTCTAACTAGGGAATTACATTTTTTAATTTGAAATTACCGTAATACTATTGTATATTTTAGTTGTACTTTAGAAAGATATTGTTAAAAAAACTGTCTACTGATTGTACACCTTATCGCAAAAGAAGCTCTGGAACTGATTGCAGTATCAGTAATTGACTGGAATGACAAGAACAAAATTGAAATCGTTTAAGAGGGCGTCGCACCGGTGATTTTCTGTGGTAAAAACATGTTTAAGCACACTGAAAATAACTTGCTTAATTTTGGTTTTAGAGTAAAAGCACCCATTATAAAATTTAAAGAAAACAATATTGCGGAGGGTAAAACGGTGCGTTTTTAAAAAAAAAATCATTTTTTGAAAAGTTACAATCATTTAAAAATGTTAAAATAGTCGTTATTTCTAAACTATGTATTGAGCATTATACTTGAAATAATAAAAAAAACGCACCGTCTTGCCCTCCGGAATGTTGTTTTCTTTTAATTTTATAATGGGTGCTTTTACTCTAAAACCAAAATTAAGCGAGTTATTTTCAGTCTGCTTAAACAAATTGAGATGAAAAAACATTTTTAAATCGCTTTCAAGGATGCTGTGATAGTCCAAAAAATAAATTAACTACTAAAATAGAGGCCTAGTTATTGAACTAATAATTACACATCACAGTTTAACCTTTAAATTAAGATTTTGAAAAAAATTGCCTAGACTTTACTCCTTAAAAATGGGCGGTGCGACGCCCTCTTAATGGAATCATGCCATAGATGTGTAATGATTTATAACGACCATCGAGATAAAGAATATTTTCTTTATCTCGATGATAACGACCGACATTCGATTTGTATATGTACTACATTCAAATGCATTTCATCCATATCAATTGCTGTTGCCTTCACTTTTTTATGATTGTTATTATATCACTGTTATTTTTAGCTACTTGTGTTTTAGCCTCGATGTAGTCATATTGTTTTTATACAAAATGTATTAAAATTAAAAAATAAAATAGTACCGGTGATTTATAATAGCGATTAATAATTCTTACTGTTGCCTCTTATTTTCATCTTAAATTATTGAATAATAAACGTTCGACTATGACCAGCCCTGAACTTTTATTGTAAAAAACAAACGCAGTTACAATTGAGATAAAATATTATAAACTTAAAATCGAATCGTTTAAAATAATACCACATAAAAAACAAATTTTTTTTTGGTTTACCTTGTGATTTTTCTGCAGAATATTTACACTTAAGATAGTAATTTAAATTTTATTATAGCTATAACTAAGTGAATTAAAATTACCTAGCCATGTACGGTTTTACCACTTCTTGACTAATTGGTATATACTGAGATCTGTAGCGTATTTATTCGATTATTTATTCGAGTTAAAGAGTAATTAGATATAATTATAATCTACTACTTAGTGATGTGTATTATTCCAATAAATTTTTTTTTTTTTTATAGAAAATGTATTACTATATTAAATATTTACATCTATACAAAATATATGCACAACAGTAAATGGGTAAACAGTAAACAAAATTAATATTATACCTTCAATAACATGCAGTAGGGGAGCACCCAATGGAGCTACCTACTTTGAATTTTGAGTTAGTTTATCTAATAATTCTTTTTTGTTTTTTTTTTCAATTTATAGGAGGTCTCTACACCATTTACTTCCAATAAATTTCCGAAAATTTTGAATAAAGGATTATAATTTTTAAAAATGAAGTACTCCAATACATAATCAAATATACACAGTATATAGTATTATATGCAGTTCTATGACATTTTTTAAAATGTATTACAAAAGCTCTAATTAAAATACACATGGAAAACATATTAAATTTGATACTTAACACCAGAATATTAATATGAAATATTTAACATCAATAAAAGTCATAATAATTAAAGTAAGTATTTTTAATTATTATCGTTATTTTTTGTTTGTGTCTGGGCTGATTTCTTTATGTTGCTGACTAAGTGACCAAGTGACTAGTCTTTAAATCAGAAATCGTACCCGATAGATATTTTTTCGAAACAACAATTTTCAAAGTTCATCCTTTCCCTTCGTAATTCGAAGGGGGCAGTATATTACTATCATTTCGTTGTGGCCTAATGTGAATATTGTTATTAGGCCACCACCCGAAGTGGGTGTGTTAGTTTTTAAGTTTATGATTGTATTTATTGTTTAGTATACCCAATAAATGGCATCGGAGACTGGGGGGAAGTAATTCCTCACAGGGCGCGTCCCCCCCCAGTGTTCTATGGGTGCATGTGGAAAAAAAAAAAAAAAAAAGTATATTACTATCAATATACAATAACAAAAACCTAAAAAAAATCATAAATCCTCGCATTAGGTTTTGCCTTTTGCTAAAATCTTGTAACTTCACCTTGTTATTTGAACCTTTTATGGAAATTAATATTTTGTCAACATTACCCGCCTCAAAACATCGTCATAACATTATCACGGTTTGAAACATTACAATGGATTTGGTAAAAACAGTTCACACTGTAGGTAAGTGACAGTACGGCTTCCTTAGAAACGTTTTAAAAATACATACGAATTGCGAGTTGCCTGCCAATAGTGTCTATTCGCGTTGTTGAACTTCATAATATTTTTATGTTATACGGCAAGTACCTACAAATGTATACTCCAAGTTTATTTTAAGTTTAGAACGTATATAAACTATCGTTTCTACGTTGCTGTTCGAAAAAAAACATTAATTTTGTTTAAGGTTCGAAAGTGTTAAGATAATTATTCAATACACGTCCAGTTAATTATTTGTTGTTTTTTATTTAGATTTTGTGTTTTTTTTTTAATTACAATTAATTCATTAAAAATACGACGCAAATTTAGAAATCAATTTAAACCACTCCAAGGTAAAATTATATTATTGTTATTATGTATGAATTTATTAGATTAATAGTGCAATTTAATATTAAATGCTAGTGTTCGAATCGGGAAAAACAAAGAAGAACGAAATTAAATATTTTAAAGTGCCTTATAAACGTAACATTGATCACAGACCCCAAGCCCTCGTTCATTCTCGTATACTATTACTACGTTTTTGTAAAATTTTAATCTAAAATCAAAAATACTTTAAGGTTATAAAATACGAAAGAAATTAAAAAATCTTTTATTCAACTTTTAAAAATGCTTACATAGTTGATTTTATTTTTGAAACCCCAAATAGTTTCTAAATATGTATTGTCTTTAGAGTAATTTTAACTGGCATCATTTAATGATTTTAAAATCTATAAACTCGCACTGAAGTGTTTTTTTTTATTTGGTTTTATCATTTGTACTTACTTAAAACTTAAAATAATTCTTAAGATGTGCTGGTGTTTGTATGTCATTTTCATAACCAGAAGTTAAGTAAATCCCTACGTTAAACAACTCTGTCTAATGACTATCGTTTGTTACATTCAATCTGGAATTCATCCTTCTGTGATTTTACGTATACCCAATTAGGATTTAGTTGTATTGAACTTTGGGGCTTCAAGGTGGTCAAAGAGCTTAATTATAAAAAGCGATTTCACCTAATATCAGGGGGGGGGGGTGGGGCTTAATACAGTACATTTATAAACCATCTCCACCCGTGTAAAATCAGTTTTTTTTATAATTTTACCATCGATTTATATAATAATGCGTAGTAGTAGACTTATGACAAAATAAACAAGCATGACCGTTGATAGGTAATACTGCGCAGCATATTTTCAAATGTACTAAGACAGAAAAATTTCGTAACATCGTGATCGTGCCCGTTTATAAAGCACTTATTCTACTTCGGTTATACACACAGTGTACTTAAAATGGGGAAAACATTTTTCAGTGAAAAATAATTGTTCACCAACAAAACGCGATCTATACTCAGAGCGTAAGGGAACGCGTCCGACCGAGCAACAACACCAACAAGCAACAACAGCGACCAGGGCTCTGGTTATCGCTTATTACCAACGGTTACCAACTGATAACAAAAATAATAGGCGGTCGGCCGGCCTCCCAAAAGAAAATCAATTATTTGTAATGGCACTCTGGAAACGTTTTCCATCCCTGACTATACGGTTGTCGTCAGTCGCGTCTCTGGTGAGTATTTGTGTTGCAAGGTTACGTTGAAAATTCCTGCCGTAGTTTCCAAGTTAATTTGAATCGTCTATACGACTCAGGTAATGTAATACATACTCTTTATTGAATTGATAATAGAATAAAACTCAAGGTCGCGAGGTTGTAGAGATAATAGACGGTAAACAATTCAAATATTATTTACTGTAGAAATTTCCGTGTTTCTATGGCCGACATTTCAACAAGTGGTGTAATAGCTCTAATATTAGCACTTGTTGCGGTGGTGTTGTGTTCAAATTGGTTTTCGATTGTGAGTAATGCGTTACCTGTGTGTGTGTGTTAAGTCTTTAAAATAAACAGAGGAGCACATTACTTTATTCGTTGTATATTTCGTTACTGAGTTTTATTTTATTTTATTACAGCACAAGGTATTCTACAGTTCCAACATGGCTGATGATTGGAAAAACGCTACGTCTGTGTATGACTTTACAGTCAAAGACATCAAAGGAAATGATCTGTCGTTGGAAAAATACAAGTGAGACATGCCACTCAATAAAATATACTTATTTTTCTTGAAAAGTTTTATTTTAAATTAATTATTATTATGTTGTTTTAGGGGTTTTGTATTGATCATTGTGAACGTTGCTTCCAAATGCGGCTATACTGCCAAGCATTACAAAGAGCTTAATGAGTTGGATGAGAAGTATCGCGATAAAGGACTGAGAATTCTTGCATTCCCATGTAACCAATTTGGGGGCCAGGTAATAATTCATGTAATTTATAAATAGACCTACTAATTATTTCATGGAATAATTTAAATAGGTTTAAAAATGTTGTCTAAATGATTTGTGGTAGGTAAACATTTATTATACGACTTTCAAAATTAAATTTGTTATAATACTGTTGTTATTATAAGTGTTGTAACAAATTATACTAAGAAAATAAATTGTTTAAAAATTAAAACCACTACCTAAAATAGAATTTAATTAAAAATGTTAGTTATATTTCACTAAAACTTAACAAAATTTTATTTATCTGTATTAAGATTGAATACTATAAGACAGTATTGATTAAAAATGGCTGGAGTGGTATCACGTGGCTGGGGTGTGGTCAGTGGTGGGTGCGAATAGGATAATATCTCTAAGGGAGAGGGGTTCCAAGCCTCCTCCCTTATTTTATTTAATAGAATATTTCACTCTTCTTTTTTAATTACTTTTTCTGTTTTTTTTTAAAAAAGATTTCCTAATTATACAGTGTATATGTCCCAAAAATCAAATGGTACGTACCACAAGTACTTAAAAAATATTATTTATTAAATTTCTGACCATAAGACCATTTAAATTAAATAAGTTCTTAAAATAATATATGCCACTAAAGAAGCAATAATACTTTAATTTAAATTTGTATGATATTAATTGCCCCTACAATTTTTTTTTTCTTTATTATAGGATTCATCAACGCAGGTATTTATGAGTAGAGATTTAATATTTAGTGTTTGATATACTTACAAAATAATATTAGAAAATATTGGTTTTGATTTTCAATTTGTTTACAAAAATATTAGGCAATTAAAAAAAAACTAGTCGTGCTAGAAAAAAACAAATCAAATAAAATGTAAAATTCTGTTGTAGAATGTAACAAATAACATATAAATTTGTTAATAGCAATGCTGCCCTTCTAAGTAGTACAAATGCCTTAAACCAGAAGTACAAAAAATTCAAACCAGTTTTTAATTTATTGAGTACGCTTTTTAGAGCAAAAATACTGTATCTATTGACCAATTGAAAAATTTAACACAGTATTAAATAATAATTATTAAAAATGCTGAAATCACTTAATATCAATAGGTAAAAATGGCGTAAGATGATTATACAAGAACACTGTAAGTACACTTAGTACGAGCCGATATCTTCCTATACTTCCTACTGTTTTAATAACCATTTAAATTTATAAAATATTTAATTTTGTTATTTGTTTTATCGTATTCATCATTGTTTCATTTAATTTTTATGGGTAAACATTAAAATAACATGACATATAGAGTATAGACGTATAGTATAACATGATGTATAGGCAAAATATTATACTGCTTATTTTCCAATCTTATTTACAGAGTTAAACTTATCTCATTTTACATAATTAATTTAATGAAATCATTATTTTAAATAAAAAAGTTTTCAATAAAAATCTTTGTTAATGCAAACTAACAAAAACTAGTTTTTAAAATTTTAATTATAAATAGTACTTTAAAAGAGTATTTTTGGAAGCTACGTTTTAAAGTCAAATAACAAACTACAAAATATATTGACTACGCTATATTGATTTACCTAAAAAGAATCTTGACAGTGGCCATTTCTTATTGGACGAAAGACAAGCTACTATGACCGGACAGGAAGAGAAAAAAAATGAATTAGACAAAATATAGTGCCATAGTATATATATATAACAAAATACATGTTTAATACATTTAATAATGTCAACTCGTTTTTATATCAATTTGTATAAGCTTAAGGAATAATTGTTTTTGTTATTTTCATCTACTTTTACTCTCCTGCACTGCTCCTCTTTATACATTTTAGGAAATAAGACGATTCAATATTTTCGTTTTTTTTAAAACTTAGTAACTGTTTGAAAAGAAAAACATTATTAATTGTATGTATCCTATTGAAAAATTGACGTTATTTATTTGCTTTATATTGTGAATAATTTTCTAACTCTTTACTATGGTTAAGAGAGTGTCATTTTGATCCAAAAAAGCTTAACCTATAATAAATAAAGTAGATATAGATTTCTTTGACTTAATTTATGATGTTTTGTTAATATCCATGTAGTTTTTTTAAACTAACTTCCCAAATAAATTTTAAAGACCAGCATTGTTCAGCTGTACAGTTGCTTGAAAGTACATTAAGTTTTTTTTCTTTAATGTTACTGTGTTTATTTATATTTATAGAAGCCAATACTTTTTAGTTAGGTTATGTAAACTATAAATATTTAAAATTTTAAACTATGAAATGCAACTAAACATAATTTTTCATACCGTGGTTTTAGGTGTATATTTTTTTTGTGTCACATTTTGTATAATTAATACTATCGTCATATTATTGTATAACATTAATTATTACTTATTGTTTACACTAAATAAAACTTTTAAAATTTTCAGGAACCTGGTGACAGTGATGCAATCTGTAGCTTTGCAGAAAAGAAAAGTGTCAAGTTTGACTTGTTTGAAAAAGTTAACGTCAATGGCAGTGATGCACATCCTTTATGGAAATATTTGAAAGAAAAACAAGGTGGCACTTTAATTGAGTAAGTTATTATTATTCAAAGATACCACTTTAGTATTTTGAATTTTTAAAAGTTCATAGATTTTTGTTTTTATATTTTATTAAAGATATGTATTTAAGATATGCCATTGAGTAACATGGCAAATTATTAATTAACTGTCAACAGTTTTTACTTCTACATTTCTATAATAATATACACTTTATATGACAATCCTTGTAATTTTATCATTACAAGGATAATATAAAACTTTTATCAATATTTTTTAATACAATATTTTATTTGTTATTAGTGCGATCAAGTGGAACTTCACCAAGTTCATTGTCGACAAAAGTGGCCAACCCGTGGAGAGACATGCTGCTAATGTCAGCCCATTGGTAATGTAACATATTATTCATTGTTTTTATAATGTAGTGTTTCGAATTTAAATATTCAAATTGGAATCCTTCTTTTTTAATATTTTAATTGTTCAAAAATGCCCAATAATTATTATAAATACTGTTATATCCTGTTTTGTCTGGTAGGCATTTAACAATTTTTAATTTTTCCAAATAATTATTTATAAACGTTTAAAAAAAGAAGTTTAAAATTTTGAACCATCTGGAATAAATCCATAAGAAATAGAATCTATTTATTCTGGAAAAGTTCCAAAGAAAAAAACTTTGTGAAGTATTAAATGTTCGGAAAATTTGAGTTAGCAAATAGTTACATGGTCTTAAACCAAGTTCTTACCCCTCAAATTACTTCGCAAAAAAAAAAAAAAACGCACCATAATCATAATTGGTTTAAAGGTAGGTATTTAAACACTTATTTTAACCTAACCTTCGAGACAGAGCTTAAACTTGAATAAACATCAGTGGACTAGGTTACTAGAAGACTAGAGCTTTTGGTTTTTACCAAGAAGTGCCTGGTACATTATTTAACCAAGTAAAATAATTTTTTGTATGCTTACGGTTTTAAGTACTCGTTATTTTGTATTAATGGCTAATTAAAAACAAGTAATGGGTACATAAAACTGTATGGGTATGTAAATCAGAAAGAGTACCCAAAATTCATGTATTGTGCATTGTTTATGAGTATATAAATATATTATTTTGTTTAATACAATTTATTTATTTTTTAGGGATTGGAAAAGAGCTTGGAGAAGTATTTTTAAAAGAGCATTATAATATAATAATTAATCAAAAATAATCCAGTTTTTTTTTTATATGTTTATGAATTTTATTATATCTTACTTATGAACTATATTTGTCTTAAAGTATTTAGACTGCATAACGTCACAATTCTACTATTAAGATTTGATGGTTATTATTATTATTATTTTTTCATTAAAGTTTTTTAAGTAATATTGTAGTGAGTAGGCATTGATTAAGGCGATGTAATAGTGTTCAAATTTTATTTTATCTTTGTATTTATTATAATAAAACTATATTAATGATATATATTATATATATATCTATCGGTAATCAATTTTTTTTTTGATATTGAAAATTATAAATTTATAATTAGTGTTGCTATGTGGTGTACGCCGTGTAAATGTTGCACAATATTATAAATTGATAATTTATGAATTAATTGATCAATGATTAGAGATCAATTAACATATTTTGGTATATCTGTGTGACTGTTAAAATGGATAATAGGATTTAAGTGGATTATGTTTCTGTTGTGTAATACAACCTTTTTAAAAGTTTAATTTGACCCTTAAAGAGGATGGTTTCTAGTTGTAAGGTGTGGTAATTTTGCAGTTAAGTTAAAATTATATGACCTCAAGTCCAACTACTTCGCACAAACGCAACAAAGTGGAGAAAATTAGAATAGTAAAATTTTAAGACAAAGAGGGTTATTAATTACAATCTACTTTTTTTGTATTATCGATTAATTCAATTATTTATCTTATTAACTATTACCTATTCACTTTTCATATTGTATAGCATAGGTCTTAAAGACTCAACACTGCCATCATGGAACGGTTTCTATTTCGAATAATATAACGCTATTTATATCTAAAAATAACAAGAAAATTTAGGATGATTTTTTGGATATTAATTGTGTGCACTATTTTTAAGATAAAAATGCTAGCACAGTAAGACGGGTGCATAGTAGGGACGCATCTTCAGAAACTATTATAATTTATAACTTGGTTTCAAATAAATGCTCCGACATGTACAGATGTAGACATTTTTAGTATTGGGTTAAATACGATTAGCGGTTAGGGTTATCGGCAGTCTATTCTATTAATAAATTATTATTGTTACACATTCATAGTAAATAATAATCAACAGTCTAAAAAAAATGTTTATTAGATACCTATTGACTGTGGATTCATTAACGCATGGCATCCTAGAGTAATTTCTACTGTCAAAGTGTTGTAATTTTCTCCATTTTTTTTTTATATTAAAAAAAAGTCAAACTTTAGATTTTTGAAAAATCGTTTACCCATGTTATAGTTTTACTTCAAAGGCACCTTCAGTATGTATCCCGTATCATAAATTATAACACGAACGATCTATTTGGCTGATTTTTTAGTGGGACATATCATTAAAAGTTATTTTTTCAATTATATAGAGAGGAGAGTTAAAATTATGATAATGCAACTTTATAGATTACTTGAAGAAAGTACTAAAATCTATATTTAGAGGGCCCTTCACCCTTAGTCATCTTTAGTGACTTCGGGATATAACCTAATAAATATAATATACGGGAGACTTAGTTAGGATGAAAAATACCACGATAAAGGCCTGAGAATACTTACTTTTCCGTGCATTCAATTTGGGTATCAGGTAAAATATTTTGTTGTTGATTTGCTTTCGTAGAAATGTAGTCCAGAATAACTAATACGACTTTCTTGTATGGGCCTAATAATATATTATGATACTAATACGTTAAGTCTTAAGTAAAACATATTAAGGGGATTGCATGCGGTTGGTTTTTAAGGAGTTTTGTATAGGTAATATTTAAGAAAAAAGGGGTTTTAATAAATTTCGATCGTGTCAATTAATTTACCGGTTCATTTGTAAAAGCTCGTGGTATTATTTTTAATTTAAACCATTTTGTCTATGAGTAAAAACCATTTTAGTATATATAATATACATTTTTTGTTTCATCGCACAGGCTGAACCAGTGATCCGATAAGTAATCTGAAAACAGATTTGAATTCGTCATGAAGTTTACTTGAGATCGGTCAGCGTACTTTTTTGACATCTCATTTCTACTATGTATAAAACACGTTTGAACATTATGTACAATTTCAGATTTTAAAACTGTGTTTTGACTGAAAAAAACCGACCGCATGCAATGCGTTTAACTTTCAAGGGGGGCGGCCCACCTTTGGTATGACAGATACGTGAGAGGCTTCGCCCTTTTATTTTTTGTTTATTCATTGGGAAACTGGAAACTATAAAATAATAGAGTATAGTTAGTGTATACTATAGTCTATAATATACAATATAATAATATGTGATATAAAATGCCCAGTGTCGCATTACGAAATATCGCATTAAATTTTTAATTGTTGTCAGTAGTTAAAAAGAATTAATACTCCATACTAATAATAATAAATGATTAATTTTACAATAGTCAATAACATAATATATTATAAAATTAAAACTAAAGTAGGTATCACCATTTTGGTGTTTGAACACGAAATTTATTTTATATAATTGTGTATTTAATTTGTTTCGGTTGATATTGTATAATTGGTAGTAATTCAGATAACACACTACTGAGAACAAAATAATTGTATTTTTGTGTGTTATGACACAGATAAAACTATACAAATATATTCTATAAAATAAATCGTTAATGTAACAACCGGTAAAAATATTTTACCCGTATTTCTGCATTTCACTATGTTAAAACTATTTCGATATCCAAGTACATAAAACAAACGTTGTCCATCTATACTATACTAAATATATTCTACTTGAATTACAAGGAAATGAGTCTCTATTTTTACGAAAACGATTTCTTGATGCAAATAATTTTGGACAGCAATGACACCCACGATAAAAGTGAAATAGAATAACATTTTTGTGACAATGAGGTCAATGACATATCCTACTTTTCATAATATTTCTTAGAAAAAAAAGTTATTAGTGTTTTGAAAAATGTTAAATAACATTTTCTAAGTTCTATCTAAAGAATGAACAAAAAAATGTTTGTATCAAATTTCTTGAAAGTACAGGTGTAACGTCTTCTCTTAATCATTTTTGATTTGTAGAAACGCTTTTAATTTATGTTCAGACTTCAGCGTACCACAAGGTCTGCCTGGCACCTAAAGAGCCTCGGATTCTGAATCTCTAAAAAAGCCACCAAAAATGTTTTTATTTATACATTTTATATATTTTTCACACAATTTTACAATGGTGTTTCTTTAGTAAATTCCACATATTGTGTTAAATTGTTTTCTTGTTTTATTTAATAAAACCCACCAGCTATGTTACCGAAAACGCGGAAAAAATAAGTACCACCTAAAAATCTGGAAAAATATCAATTGTTTCTAATGTAAAAAGATAGAAGTAGAAAGTTTTTGCAATTTTTAGGTTTTTTCAACGTTTGTGTTTAGCATAACAGTTCTTTATTGTTTTCCCAACATTTTTGATCAATGGTTCATGGTTGTATATTATTGTGTGAACATTTTTAAAATTTATATTAGGAACCTGGCTCTAACAGTAAAATAAGTAATTTTGTCTCAAAGAAGAACGTTGCATTTGACATGTTCGACAAAATAAATGTAAACATCGAAAATGCTCATCCTTTGTAGAAATATTAACAGTGAAACAACCAGGCACATTAACAAAGTAAGGCAAAGTAGTTAAGTGTCTAACATAAAACAGTTGAAATAAGCAATTTATAGTTTAAGAATTAAAATTGTATTTCTTTTATTAAACCATACCTAAACATCTTTATATCCTGCAAAAAAATATAGCCATATTTGTAAATTATAAAGTACATAATATTATGTTTGTTTAACGGCATCAAGTGGAATTTCACAAAATGTATTGTTGACAAAAATGACCAACCTGTAGAAAGACACGCTGCCAATATCAGTCCTCTGGTGATATATCTTAAAAATGTTAAAAACGCCTAATGCCGAAATATTATAATTTATAACTTATAAGTTAAATCCTGTATAGCTGTTATAGAGGTAAAGATGTATAAAATAATTACATAGATACATTTTTTAAAAATAATTGTAACTACTGATCCACGAAAGCTTTAACGCATTCATAATTGTAACTATTTTACAAGGCCTAGAAAAGACGTTGGAACAGTATTTTTAACACATTTCGCAGATGAAACACAACTTTAAGTATATTTATCTATACTAGACCATCACAGTCCACACCTCGGTGTATCAATACGGCAATGATCACATGTTGATCAGCTTTTAAACTATAATACATTCATTATTTATAATAAAACATTAAAAATGTGTTGTTTGTAATAAACTGTTAAGTTTTATGGTGTAATAATATATTTTTTTCTATTAGCATATAATGACGCTGAAACCTCTCGCTTGTTGCTAGTAAAACAAATCACTAGATGTACGTCATCAAATAATAAAAACAATGTACTACACTGTAAATTCATTATTGAAATTAAAATATTATGTTTGAAGGGCAAAGTTATTGTGTTAAATTATCTAGTTTATTTTATGGGAATAACATATGTAATTCTGGCTTTCGTGCAGTAAACCTGTTATTATGAATAACAAATAATTAATTATAAAAAATATATATGTAAATATTATAAATTTAATAACAATTTAATAAAACGTCTACTTATGGTGGTATTTAATTCATTCCGTTAAAAATTATCTACGTGTTACGGTACAACAGATTATTCTAATTAAACACTGTTTAACAGGGGAATAAGGTCGAGGTAAATAACTCACTTTTGACAGTAATGTACATTTGTTACTAGTATATAAAAAAATCAAATTCTATTAAAACGTTTATTATTGAGTGATTATTTGGCCGTTTTTATCAAAATGAACGTCTATAAAATGTCTTTACTCTTTTTCTTTGGATTTATAGCATCGGTGAGTATTATTAACTGCATAATCTAACTAATCAAGCATCATCACGTTAACAAAATACATTTTACATTTATTTAAACAACTTTGAAGTTAAAAATCTATAAATTAGGTGAAATGTTTTTTTTCATGTAGTTTGGTATGTAGTTTTCATATAGTGTGTAGAAACTATTCACACTTAGAAATGCCACAGTAGACTCACAATATAGAAGTGGATTTTTCTTTACATAAATCCTTAATAAAGTCATAATTTAACTTAGTTTTAAATCACATTACGTTAAATTAATTAATAATAATTATTATATCATATTAAAAATAATGTATTATGTTGTAAAAATTATATGTATGATTTACCAGCATGAAGCACTAACGCTACTTTAGTTAGGTAATTCAAAAAATATATTTTTATAATATAAATATCAAAAATCTCATCTTTTCGAATATAATTAAATTGTAACGGGTTATACACTATGTATGTATTTAAAATTATAATGATAATTTGATGAATAATGTTTGTTTCATTCTAAATTTGTTTTGTTAGACAGGCATTTGTTGAAAGACAGATTGTGTATGACTTATTTAAAAGTATAAAATTGTAAAAAAATAAATAAATATTAAAGAGTTATTTTTTTTAATTAAAAGAAAAAAAATGGTTTTTTAACTATGTTATTTAGTGTCGTCTGTAAACAGCAATCCTATGTTAAATCCCATTTAAACTTCAACTCTTTTGGGACACGGGTTAAAAGTAATATTTTTCAATTTTTTTTTCTATATAATATATATATGTATACAAAAAAAAAAATTGATCAAATTTAATACAATTTATAAATTATATTGACCACAGAAATAAATTACCGGTTTTTATTGAAGTATTGAACTTTATTCTTGTGAATATAAACACAGCCCTTTAGATTTGTGTACACAGTTGGTTGCTAGTAAATATTATAGATATTTTGTGCGTCATTACATTCATTAAAGCGAAATTAATTATACTGGTTTTCAATATTATGTTTCTGTGATCGGTTTGCACACTATACACGTTTAATAGTAAATAAGTCTGAAAATTAGGTATAAATAATTAATAATTAATAATTAGTTTACATGAAACTTTACCATTTTTATAATATAAATAGTAAAGATAATATTTATGTCTAAATTAAAATAATTTTTTTTTACAAATTATAAGCATAATAAAAAAAAAATTAAGTACAAACAGTTATTAATATTAATTGTTAAACAATTCATATTTTCAGGTAAACTGTCTATCGGACGGACCAAACTCTATTTATGATATTACAATAAACGATAATAATCACAATGCTGTTCCATTGTCCCAATATCGGTAAGTTATCTTTAACTCTTACGCATGAATAAATATATAAGTATGTTTTTATTTAACTGACTAACGGCCTCCTGCTATCTCCTCCTGTTTTTTTTTTACTACCCCTTTGTGACACAATTTGTATTTTTTGTTTTTAATAAGTTTAAATAATATATTATTGTAATTGTCACCATTCGTCCTGACGTAATAATAATTAAATCCTATTTTATATTACAGTGGTCGGGCGATGCTCATAATTAACTACGCTCGGCTTTGCGGCTTTAATAAACTATACTTGGATTCCTTAGAGAAGTTGGCCGATAATTTTAAGGACTGTAATTTCAGAGTGTTAATGATTCCAAGTAATAGTTTTCTCCAGGTATGAAAAAATGAATTTATCGAAAAAATTATGTGGTTAATAAGTTGACTGTTGTTGAAATTGTATAAAATTTAGTACTGCAACGTCCTATTAATCTATTTCTATGTTGGTTGAAGGGAAATTGAAAGTAAAACTAAAAAGCTGTCAAATACCGTATGAATGATATTGAATAAAACATGTGATGTGTAATGCAGTATTGTCTTAAGGAACTTAAGAATTGCTGTATTGAAGTAGCTCAGATTAGAATAATATAATGGATGTGTGTAGTTATTACGTTGTATAGAATTATGAATGAGTATACAAAAAAAAGTTTAGAAAATAGTTTAGAAAAAAAGGGTGATTATTTAGAGATGTTAAAATATGGAAAGATAAAACAAACGAGTAAAAAGGTTGAAGGATGAGAAAAAGGGATAGAATATGATAGAGCAGAGATCAACTAAAAACAAAATTGAATGGATGTAGGACAGAAAGCAGTTTTTATGATTGCAATTTTTATTAACTATTTTGCTGTTTCGCAGAACCCAAATTGGAATGAAGAGTACGGAAAGAATTTGACACAGAAGAATTTTGATGTTTTCGAAGAAGTCTCTGTAATTGGTAGTAATACCCACCCACTTTATGTATATCTAACAAATCAAATAAAAGGCCTTTTATTTAAGTGAGTAAAATATCTAAGAAAACACTATGCTATCTATTTTAGATACTAAATAAAAAATTATATTTGTTCTTATTGTTTAGGGGTATCAAATGGAATTTTACTAAATTTCTTGTTGATCCAAATGGAAAAGTTATCGAACGATATTCGCCATTTACTTCAACTGATGTAAGTGATATTAAATAATTATCTGTAGTGAAAAAAAGAAAAAAATCGCGTCGTATAATTATGCTGTAATCTCGCGCAGACTTACTAGATAGGGAGGAGGTCTATGAATAATAAGTAAAAGAAAAAAGTAAAGTAAAATTAAAAGGTAATAGAAAAATCTAGATTTTCTTAAGTTCAAAAATTTCGAAGTAAAAATAAAGTTAAAAATCTTAACTAAAATAATAAACAAGTAAAACGAATATAATTTCAAGCAGACCCAGTCAAATGATAATGGTTATATTATTATTCTTTTCCGTTAATAGTCGTGAATGTTCAATAGTAACTTTATCAACTGACCCAAATTTTTCTTTTTCGGGTTTGAATAATACAATTGTATTCTTTAGGCAAGTATATCTGTTGTGCATTAACATTTTTTCTCTCCAAAATGATAACTAATAGATTTAAAAAAAAAATGATATAATAACGGTATACAATTAATTTGTTTTTTTTTTAATAGGCAATAGGCAAACGACTAGAAGGCATCTTAAAGTGTAATGGCAATAAACCGTGATTAATATCAAATGAATGTTATCGTCAAATGTATTATGGGAAAAAAAAGAATATAATAACATGTAATTCATTTTTGTAAAATTAAAATAAATAATTATTACCGAAGTAAAGTTTTATTTTATTTTCCAACTATTTATTTCTACTTGTGATTCCTTCCTTTATTTTTTTACCTTCATTAAATGTCTATGCAAATGCAGAAAACAGGTTTATAGTTTTTACTTCTAATAGTATACATTACTATTCATCGTAATACACTATTATATAGAGATTTAGTGTTAGAGGTTACATAGCCTAAATGTAGTTCTAATGTTAAGTGACTAAATAAAATAGTAAAGAATATTATACTATATATGTATAGCGAGAGATGTGGAGAAAATATTCTGGCTGGCCAACCACATTTTTATTGGATTGGCTTAAATTCGATATATTATACTACAAAAATTAATCCTTCATATTTTAAATTGAAAAGCAAGTTGATTTCAAATTATTACTTAAGGCATTATTGTGTGCTAAATTTCGAATTTTAAAAATTGTTTACGCGGTTGTATATTGATTTAGAGAAGCGTTTATTTTATATAGATACGAATTTAATGTAAATATACAGCCAACAATGTAAATAGGGTTGGTTTATAAAAGTACAAATAATTCATACAAATAATGTAACTAGGTCAATGTTCAAGATGTTTTTGTTTTGGATATATTTGTTATGCATGGTGCATGACGTGCATTGGTGTGTGAATAATAGGTAACTGTTTGAACAAGCATACTAAACACATAACATCAAAATATGTTGTTTTTTTATTTTAAATAATAACACACCTTAAAACTTGTTTTGGATAAGTTTCTGCGAAAGAAAGTAAATACGCAATTATTTAGAAAAGTAACATCAATGATAAAACCATAGAATATTCAATATTGATTCGATGTATACCCGTTGAAATAAAATAAATAAAATGATTTAGTACAAAATACTACTCTAACTAAATATTTTGTTTAAATCGCGGAATAAGGTCGTGACATAAATCATTTTTGAAAGCATTGTACACTTTTTACTAGTATATAAAAAAGCAAATTCTAAGACTAGTACATAAAAAATCATTTCAGTTACACCGTTTATCAGTGAGTTATTATTTGACCGTTTTTTTCCAAAATGAACGTCTATAAAATGTCTTCACTCTTTTTCTTTGGATTCATGGCATCGGTGAGTATTATTAACTGCATAATCAACCTAATCCAGCAACAGCGCGTTAACAAAATATTATTATACATTTATTTAAACAAGTTCAAAATATATAAATTAGGTAAAATGTTTTGTCATCCTTATAATGTGTAGAGAATAGTTATTACTTAGAATGTGTGAATGAATTATTTAAAAGTTGGTTTATACACCAAAAAGATATATAAATACAAAAAAAAAATTGATCAAATTTAACACAATTTATAAATTATATTGGCCACAGAAATAAATTACCGGATTTTATTAAAGTATTGAGACTTAATTCACGTGGAAATAAATAAACACAGCCCTTTAGTTTTGTGTACACAGTTGGTTGCTAGTAAATATTATAGATATTTTGTACGTCATAACATTCATTAATGGCAAATTAATGTTTTATTAAATTATACTGGTACTCAATATTATGTTTCTGTGATCGGTTTGCACACCATACACATTTAATAAATACGTCAGAAAATTAGGTATACCTTTGTTGAATCTATTATACAAAAATAAATAATTATTATATTTACAATATTTAAAATATTTTTTTCCTCGTAACATTAAGCTTTTGTAATATGTTCTTCGATATATAATATGGATACACATTTATTGAGGACCAAATCTTTACACCAAACCGTCTCATGTCTTTATTCTATGAGCCCCTGATGATAGTTAAAACTAAGGACCCAAAAAATTAATAGGATTTGACTGTTATTTTGATACTAGTATATATATATATTATATTATATAGTATATAATATAATATAGGTAAAAAAGTAGAATAACTTTATTAATATATTGTATTTATATTTATTACTAATTATACTGCATGTCTTATTGTTATACAGTTCATAGTACATATTATACAATTTTAAAATACAATTTGTTTTGCTTAATCTATTTACTTAAATTCTACTCTTTACTACAGATAAAAATCTACACTATCTAAACTATAGATAAAAAAGTAGGATAACTTTATCAATGTATTTTATTTATGCTTATTATTATTTTACATGGAACTTCACCATTTTTATAATATTAATAGTAAAGATAATATTTATGTCTAAATTAAAATAATTTTTTTTTACAAATTATAAGCATAACGAAAACAAATTTGAGTACAAACAGTTATTAATATTAATTGTAAAACAATAAATATTTTCAGGTATACTGTCTAACTAACGTACCGAAGTCTATTTATGATATTGTAATAAACGATTATAAAGGCGAAGCTATTCAAATGTCCCAATATCGGCAAGTTATCTTTAACTCTTAAAGAATATATATGTATTGAATATAATATAATAGTATGTTTTTATCAAACTGACTAATGGTTTTCTGCTATGGCCTTTTGTTGATTTTTAACGACTACCACTTTGTGGCACAACTTGAATATTTTATTTAAGTTTTAAATATATTATTGTACTTTTTTCTACACTTCATCACTTAAAAGACTAAGTATTGTAGTAATCAACCTTCGTCCTAAATGTTTACTTAAACGTATAGTACTCCTACTATTTATCAATATCATGGATATGCATAATAATAATTAAAATCGATTAATATATTACAGAGATAATGTGATACTTATAGTCAACTACGGTAGGCCTTGCTGCCGGTGGACACGAGGCAGAGTGGATTTTTTAGAGATACTCGCCAATGATTACAAGAAATATCCTTTCACAGTGCTAATGGTTCCAAGCAATGTTTTGAACTGGGTATGAAAAAAATGAGATTTTTGAAAAAAATATATATTAATAAGTTAGTTGTTGTTAAAATTGTATTAAGTTAAGGACTGCAACGTACTATTAAGCTATTTCCATATTAGTTGGAGGGAAATTGAAAGTAAAACTAAAAAACCGACACGTGCAATAGGGATGATTTTGAATAATATATGTGATGTAACTACATTAAAGATATTTATTTAGCGGTATTGTCTTAAGGAACTTAAGAAATGCCGTTATTAAGTAGCTCAAATTAGATTGTTGTGTGCAGTAATTATGTTGTATATAATTAGAAATGATCAATATACGAGAAAAATTTTAGAAAATAATTGAAAATAGATTAGAAAAAAAGAGTGATTATTTAGAGATGTTAAAATATGGAAAGAAAAATAAAATGAGTAAAAAGGTTAAAGGGTGAGAAAATGGTATTGAATGATGGAGCAGAGATCAACCAAGGATAAAGCATGTTCCATGTTAAAATGTTTGGCCGGCTGTAACTCTTTGTATGGAATAGATGTATGCTAGAAAGTAGTTTTTATGATTATAATTTCTATTAACTATTTTGCTATTTCGCAGCTCCAAAATTGGCAACCCAAAGAGGCAGAGGCTTTGGCCGGGAGGGGTTTTCGTGTTACCGAAGAAGTTCGTGTAAAAGGTTCTGAAAAACACGTACTTTATACGTTTCTAACAGAGGCTCTTAGTGGTACCTTCGGGAAGTGAGTAAAATATCTAAGCCAACACTACGCTATCTTTTTAAGATACTAAATAAAAAATAATATCTGTTATTATTGCTTAGGAGTATCAAGTATAATTATACTATGTTTCTTGTCGATAAAAAAGGAAATGTTGTCGAACGATATTCGATGAAATCTAATCATCCTGTAAGTCATATTAAATAATTATCTGTAATAAAAAAAAGAAGAATAATCGCATCGTATAACTATGTTGAAATCTCGTGCAGACTTGCTAGATAGAGAAGAGGTCTATATATAAGTAAAAATAAAGGAAAGTAAAAGATAATAGGCAACAAATCTAGATTTTCTTAGAAGAACAAATATAATTTCAACAGACAAAGTCAGATGATTGTTGTTATATTATTCATAGCGTCGTTAGTTGTGAACGTTAAGAGGGCGTCGCACCGGTGATTTTCAGTGGTAAAAACATGTTTAAGCAGACTGAAAGTAACTTGTTTAGTTTTGGTTTTAGAGTAAAAGCACCCATTATAAAATTTAAAGAAAACAATATACCGGAGGGCAAGACGGTGCGTTTAAAAAAAAAAATCATATTTTGAAAAGTTACAATCATTTAAAAATGTTAAAATAGTCGTTATTTCTAAACTATGTATTGAGCATTATACTTGGAATAATCAAAAAAACGCACCGGCTTGCCCTCCGGAATGTTGTTCTCTTTTAATTTTATAATGGGTGCTTTTACTCTAAAACCAAAATTAAGCGAGTTATTTTCAGTCTGCTTAAACATATAGAGATGAAAAAACATTTTTAAATCGCTTTCAAGGATGCTGTGATAGTCCAAAAAATAAATCAACTACCAAAATAGAGTCCTAGTTATTGAAATAATAATTACACATCACAGTTTAACCTTTAAATTAAGATTTTGTAAAAAATTGCCTATACTTTACTCCTTAAAAATGAGCTGTGCGACGCCCTCTTAAATAGTAATTTTATCAACAGACCATAACTTTTCTTTTTTGATTTTGAATAATATTGTATTCTTTAGGCGAGATATAGTTGTAGATTAACATTTTTTTTTTTCCAAAAATGATCCATGTTTGTAAAAAAAACAAATGTATGTAATAACTGTACAATTATTTTGTTTTTTGAAGGCAATAACCGATAGAATAGATCGTCTCGTAAAGAGTAATGACAATAAAACGTAATCAATATCAAATCAATTTCATAGTCAATGGTATTATGGGATAAAATAAGTAATGGTAATATGTAGCAGAAAACATTTATAACAATATTGTAAACGTTTAAATGCATTGTATATTACCTTAATAAAACATAAAAGTAATTATCTTTGTTTTTTTTTGTTACATATGTCAAATATAACCCTTTTTAGAACTTAAGGAAAAATACAAAGTTTTTAGCCGAATGTATCCTTAAGTGTAACCCTCCATATAAGCAATCATAACTTTAAAATAAAAAGCACCCAGTCATAAAATATTATGTTCCTTTGTATAACACCTATTTTAAAACATCTCTATGATTACCCCAAAACTGACAAAAAGCGACGTATCATATTCTGCCATCTTACCATAGAAATCAACTAATGATACTGAACAATAAAAACCACTTCCAAATCATTTGAATATAACTTCCTTATAACTTAATAATATAACTTCCGAGAGTTATCAACCTTTGTAAAAATGTACGCTCATCTGGTTCATTCCGTGGGCGTGGTACGTCAGCCATATACGATGTTTTTTTTAGATTTACAAAGATACTTATAAACATTTAACACGTTCCTTTAGTTACTTAATTTTTTTAAAAATCATATGCGCAAACGAATTTTTCCATATACATTATATACATATATATCGGTATCGGATTGGAACTCAATACTTCAAAATGCCATGTCATGACATTATCTCGATGTCGTAGATCTGTTGATTTTATATATTCTGTCAATGGCAAAAGTTTGCAAACCTCTCGTGATAGCGTGGTAGATTTGGGTATCACGTTCGATCGTCGCCTGTGCTTTCATTCACATATTGAAAAATTTACATGTAAGGCTCTTAAAATGCTTGGGTTTATTAAAAAAATTTCTTCTCATTTTAAACATACCGCCTCCCTTAAGGCTCTTTATTGCTCATTTGTGCTTTCTCACTTGGAATATGGTGTGGTAGTATGGAGTCCCAATACGATCAGTGATCAGTACAAAGTTGAGCGTGTGCAGCGTAAGTTCTTAAAATATGCAGCTTTTGTCCTACGGACTGATCATCCGCCGCATGACTACTCGCTGGTGCTTCAAAAGCTCAATCTGTTGACGCTAGCCGATAGAAGGAAGCAAACAGATTTGATTTTTCTGAGTAAGCTAATAAATGGAAGTCTTGGTTCTCCTGAATTGCTGCAGACTGTTCATTTTCGAATCTCTGTTTTTAATTCCCGCACAGTATATCCCTTCTCTATTCCTTTTTGTTCAACCAGTTTTTATGTCGAATCGTCCTCTTTTTCGAATGATGAAATTGGCCAATGAGGACCCATCTTTTTTAATTTTGATTTCATCTTTCTTATATATATTTATATTTATCTATAATAATTATTGTGTATTATTTCAATTATTTCCATGTTTATGACATTTTTTATTAATGTTAGTCTATTATTATGTATTTTAATTTAGGAAATTGTTTAAGTTTTTGGAATTGGGCCAGTCCCGTCTATATATATATATATATATATATAAATAAATAAATAAATATATATTTCGTTATAGAGATTCATAACGTCATGCATAACAACTCAAAACAATTTGTTAGTAAATAATTATACATTGTATTTTTAAAATTGTTACCTAAAATAATTTTTGTGTTATTACTGTTTTTGTGTTACTTATTTACAATGGGAATTGTCGAAGAACTGTCCGATTTATCAGTAGGCAAATAAAAACAAAAATCTGTTATAATCCTGTTCACCTGTCGGCATCTAGCTGTTGTTTGTACTTGAGCAACTCCTTGGAAACGGGCGTAGCATTGGGTTTCAGGTGATTCTTGAGAATTTGCCAATGAGCCGCTTCCAAGGCTCAGTTATCGGACCAAGACATATTGCTGGTACTTGTACTTTCTCGACGTCTTGTACTTACTTATTAAATATCTTGCACTGAGTTGTTCACGATAATAATAAATTGTACAATTACACAGTGTGGTGTTTGATGGACCGTTGTCAATCGGTAAGCGTTTTTGAACACACCACCTGCTGTCGGTGCCGGTTGCCGGGTAACATTCAAGGTCTTCAAAACAATATATCCGTCTACCCTCTATATATAAGGTATATAGAGGGTACCTATAACCTAACCCATTGAATAACACAGCTCTTGTAATATGTATTCTATTCGGTGTGTTACAATGACTATATTGTTTGTAATGTTATTATTGTGTATAGATAATAGTACGCCATGAAAGTGGGTAACGTGCAAGAAGACTAGATATAACATATAATATTTTACACAAACACAATAATAGTACGTCTATTAAAACGAGTTAAGAATATAGGTCAGATTGTATTATTATTATTATTATTTTTTTTTTTAACAAAGACCCGAATAATTAATGTTCTTCTTATAGTAGGTAATGGCTATATCCCGGAAACATCAAGGGTGAATAATATTACTGTAATACTTTCTAAATAAATTTACAGTATATAATTTTGGCAAAGCTGGACAAGCTTAAGGTTTATATGGCAGTCGGTTTATAATTATTATTGTTTTTACTTAAAAACATGTATTACGGAAAAAACAATGATATTTCGTTAAAGTATTTGGATTTTGTTTTATACAATTATTGTTTTTTTAGAAAAATTTCTCTTTTTAAATTAATTATTATTTTTTTGTTTAATTAAAAATATTTTTTCAGTCCTCGTGGATTTACTATATTTATAAATTCAATTTATGAAGTATGTGCCGTAATTCAAGTTTGATTCTGATGGATATCGTGTATAAAATGTAACTAAACAAAAAGTGTATAAATGTAATATTATTACTTTCGATGCATATCCTTGAAGCTGTATTAAATTGTTAGTTTTTTTATATATTTTTTTTCATTTTTCGAAAAAGCATAAAATAAACAATAATATAAAAAAAATCAATAAATTTACAAATTTTTCACTACAGTTATTTATTTTTAACATTTTTGAAAGTCGTATATTTTTCAGGACACAAGTAGGTATAATATACCTAAATAATTATAACATAAAAATAATTATTACCTTATAGTTTAACTTTTTTCATAATTATTTCTTGTCGTTTAAAACCGTTTGTATAATGATTATGATTCTCGTCGACTTATTCGATGTTTTTTTTGATAGACTTGATAAAAAAAAATTCAATTATCAAGACTATTTTTTTCATTGGTTTGGCAACGCCGAATTGTATTTTTATGATCTATGGCAACGACCGAGTCAGCGTTTTTCTGTAGTCACTAGTCTGTAATAACATCGGTCATTCTGTTTCTTGTTTTATAATTTCTCGATTTGTGTCAACTTCCTTTTTTCGGAATTCATTAAATAAGAACATTTATTTCAATAATTACAATAGCATATTAATTGAATATTCTCACACACAATTTAATAAACCGGAAGAAATAAACTATTTTGATTTTTGAGTCATTAAACGTTCGATTCGTCGGAGCAGCACCTTTATGTTGACGCAACTTGCAAGTATTACCTACCTATAATTTGCACTACAATTGTAATTAAAATCAATATTATGTCATAAATTATTTTCGACAATTATGATAATAATTATTATTACACCTTGGTATAATTTCATTTTTATTTTTACTCGTACTTAGAAATATTTAGATTCGAAAAGAACATTGTCAGTGGCGTACTTTTTTTTTGGCTTATGCTAGTATTGTACCTAATATGTATGTTATACCTTATTTGGCTTTTAACGCGTATCACGGTAGGCTGACAGAGTTACCTACTTAAATAAAACTTAAGTAAATGTGTCACAAGTCAAGACCAAATATTATGTTTTCATATAGCTATTGCCTACAGTTTTTACAGGTCTCAGTTATCTGGTAATCAATATAATATTATTTATTAATATTTTTTTTACTGTAATGGCGTATTTGTTTTAAATCGATTCACGAGACAATAAAATATGTAGTTTTTCATTTTTATTTGACTTGAATACAATAGGTATATGTGATCGGGTTTATGATGTCGCGCCGTCTTAAAAATACCAAAAATTATATATATATTTATTGATTAAATATGTCTTAAAAAGTCAACATGTAGTCGTATTGGTAAACCTTATAGTTTAATAATATAATTTTTAAGAAGGCGGGCAGTACTTGGACTAGGATATTATATTGAAAAATGTCCGTCCAGTACGCGGTATCTGTTTGTCAATACTTTGGCCTATTCTTTGGTTAAGTACGTTGCAAGACGTGAAACCTATTAGGAAGCACACAAATCATTGCGTGGGCTCTACTTGTGTAAGAATACTTAGAAAGACAAACCACCGGTAAGCACACTACGTAAATTTGACTGTAAGTACAATAAATTGTCTATAATGATAGTAATTATGATCAAAAACAAAGTGCGAAAACACTATAGTTTATAATTTGCTTGAAATCGACGCATACCTACATTGTAATTAAACGTCCCAAAGTTTGTACTTGACAAATAAATTTTATTTAAAAATTTATATAAAAAAAAAATATGTGTAATGATTTTGTAAATTAATATACATACATATTATGTAAAACACGAACATGATGTTCATAATGTATTTAACAAGTGATTATACATTTAGTTATTTGTATTATTAATTATTTACATAAAAAATACGGTAATACCAATTATTATAGCTATTGATTATAAATATTATATAATATAGATAGCCCATTGGCATGTATTTTTTGCTGCGCGTAAATTGTTGGCGACTGCAGTGTTAAGCCGGGAAACACTTAATATATCAACTTATTATATATTAATATGTCAACAGGTTTACAGGTTATACAGATTAGAATGGCTAACAGGATTATACAGGTTTTCAACAAATATAAAAATATCAACAAAACAATTATTTATAAGTACAGGTTCAAGATTATATTGAAAATAGTCATAAAAGTAGTACACAGCAATTTACAATACAATATTAATAATCATAATATATAATACAAATATAAATCAAGAGAAAATGATACACACAAAAATACATTTTAAACATTGAAGAAATTTTACACAACAAATAAGCACATAGAAATATAAGTTATAAACATTGAAAAAAGTGATACACAACAAAATATAATCACATATTATACTGTATTCAGAATAAGTACAGGCTTCAGCGGCCGCGACTAGTGCGCATGGCCGCCAAAGCCCGTTCTTATTCCGAACAAAGTATAGCAATATAAATCAAGAAAAATTTTACTCACAAAAAATAAACGCATGAATTTTCATTCACGGTTTTATTTTTTGAAAATAGTAGCAATATAATTAATGTCATGAAACCACTGCCAACTTCAAAACTTTACCCATTCCAGCCGCCAAGTCTGGGCGAAAACGGATCAAGTACACAAAAAGACTGTGGAAGAAAATTACTAAATAAGAATTTTACTAAAATAAAAAAACCAATTGGTCCGGGGGGGCTAATGCCCCTTTAGCCCACCCCTAAGTCCGCCTATGCTTAAGGCATGTAAATATACGGCACGCCTACTCATAGTAGTATTTTTACTTGGCCATACTTACATTTTATTCCTCAGAGCCGAAAAACCAGCCAAGGCCTTCGTAAATTGCTGCAAAGAAGCCGCTCATGATAGCGGCCTTTGTCCCGACGCCGTCTTCCACGCCTAATACGCCACCTGCTATAGAAGCACCTATGATAAAATTTCAGGCGTCGTCTTTTTTTCTAATTTTCATTAATGTATGTTCTGCCAGCATAGCCAGACATGAATATTTTGCCACGAATTTACCCAATCTGGCAGTCCAACAAATATCGTCCTAGAAATTAAATTACAATTAAAAAAGTGTGACTGTATATTAATGTTACAGTACAATGCGGTGAGTGGATCTCACCCACGACTGTCCGCCTTCTAAGACTAAATTAAGGGACCCTAGCCGGGACAGGAAACTACCCTGTATCTGCCCTAAAATATCCCTAGAGACTCTTTGTAAATTTATATAACCGCCTAACAGAGCAAAAGGGCCGGTCGTACCTTTAAGTAAATAAACTGAACTCTCAAGTAGCAACGTACAATATTATTTATTTTAAAAGGCTTAACGCCGGTTAAGAATTAGTTATTGATTAAAATATTAAAATGACTGAAACAATATGTATAAATATATATATAAAGGTTTACACCTGTTACATTCTTATACATATTATTTATACTACTTTTTCGAAAACAAAACATGCTTACAAACATTATACAACAATAACATTCACTCTATAGAATTACTTTACATTAAAATTTATATGCTTTTGAGTAATTATAACGTGTATAAAAAAATTTTGTAATCACATACAAGTCGATATATTAAACACGGCTAATAAGTGACACACCAAATGTAATACATCGAGGAAGGGATTTAATGAATTTTGGACATAAGTGACTTTGCTCTTATGAGTAAACTAAAGATATTGACTCGACGCTGCCAGGTTTTATTTAAATAAAAGTAATAATAAAAAAAAAAATACACCGATACAAGGTATTCCTTAAATACAATAAACGATTGGCGCAAAGTTATTAAATGTTGAATATCAATAAAAAGAACATAATACAAATTAATGGTATTATTTAAAATATAGTACAAATATATTTTGTTACTTTACTCTGAGAAACTAACTGTATTTAAAAAAAAATATCATATATAAATTAAATATATATATGATACTTATAAAAAAATTAGGTTTTAATATACGGTTTCATTTGAACGAAATATATAAATATATTTCTTTTTTTTATTAATTTCATAACGAACATACACTGAAGTGACAATGGTTCGATTTTTTTTTTAAATTAAGGGTATCATATTTGTAATATAAAATATTATTATAACTATATATTTAGATAGAGAGATGTTATTTATTCTCTCCGAAGTTGTATAGAGTATATCCTTGTTTTTTTTTCTGTCTGCGATTTTGCGAAGTATGTAATAAGTATAGGTGTCATCGATGCGGCGTTAGTTGCGCTTATGACATTCACGACTCATATGTCCAATTTCACTACAATTGTAACAGCTTTGTTTGTTACCTTCGGGGCAGTCACGAGCCTATGGCCAAAACCATTACAGTTACGGCACAACGCAGAATAGTTTCCATTGCCATTTCTGAAAAAAAAACCCTATTAATGTTGACTAATGTTATAATTACTCAAAAACATATAAATTTTAATGTAAAGTAATTCTATAGAGTAAATGTTATTGTTGTATAATGTTTGTAAGCATGTTTCGTTTTCGAAAAAGTAGTATTTGAAAGGACTCGTGTTTGTCCGCTAATATCTGTTGTGTCGTCGGGTGAGCAGTTTAAATATTATGATTTGAAGTAATTCATCATTATACATAAAGTTTACATTGTTTCGATCTCTAGGCTTAAACTGTTGAAATTTGTGTTACAATTTTTTTTTATCTGCCGTTTATTTCGGTCACAAGTACTAATAATATTTTTTTTAAATTATTTTAATATCGAAGAAATTTAAGAGCGTTATTTCTTTATTTACATTAACTTTGGTATTAATTTTAAAATAGAAAAAAAACTTCATTTTTTATCAAGTTTGTTTTTTGCCGGTAGTTAATTTCGGCGTTTCAATACATTTTCGTTTGATAAACGGATTTGAAAAAACGTATATTCATGATTGGAGTTGAAAATGAGAATTACTAAACAAACTACAATTGACCAAAACCATCAAATGGTTAATGAAAAAGAAAAACAACATTGGAAGGATGTTATCATACGTATAATTGCAGTAATCCATTACTTAGCAAAACACAATGATGCTTTCAGAGGCTCATCGGATACTTTGTTTACTAATAACAATGGTAAATTTCTAGGATTAATAGAAATGTTGGGTAAATTTGATCCTATTATTATAGAACATCTAAGACGGATAAAAAATAATGAAACACATGTACATTATCTTGGCCCGAGAATACAAAATAATTTAATTGAGTCAATGGCAGAAGAAGTCAAAAGAGAAATAATTACAAAGATTAAACTAGCAAAATACTTTGCTATTATTATGGACTGTACAGTGTACACCAGACGTAAGCCATGAAGAGCAGCATTCAATTATCATAAGAATTGTAGATATGGACTCAACCAATGAAATGGCAGATGTAGAAACTAAAGAATATTTCATGGATTTTATCAATATACAATCTAGCACGGGTCTTTATTTGTCTGACCTACTGATGTCAAAACTCTAAGAGTATCAAATTAATTTAGATGATTGTCGTGCACAGGGGTACGACAATGGAGCTAATATGACAGGCCAATATAGTGGAGTTCAAGCTCGTATTCTAAATCAGAATCCCAGGGCATTTTTTATGCCTTGTGCAGCACACAGATTAAACCTCGTTCTCGGCGATACAGCAAAGAGTTCCGTAATAGCAATACACTTTTTTGGCACTATTGAAAGAATTTACACTCTATATTTGGCATCAACAGGAAGATGGAACATATTTATAAAGCATTGTCATTTGTATATTGTCAAGAGATGGTCGGAAACTCGATGGGAAAGTCGTTCTATTATATATAGCACCAAATATTGAATATTTACCTCCTAATCTGTGTAATTTGGATACGATTTTTTTTTAAACCGTTATAATTACCATGGTCAAATTCACCGTCAAATTCTCGTGGAATTAACCTAAGTACACAACAAATGTTAATACGATTTCAATTGGATCGCCTAATCAAATAGAAGCTTATGCTTTCGCACAACATAAGTACTTTAGTCGTTAAAAAAACGCATTCTTTTTAAATACAAACTATAATTATTATTCTTTAGATAATTCAAGTAATCAATTTTTCTATTGTAACTTTTACACAATATTTGTACCTGGAGAGTATAAAACTAAAATTTTCGATTCTATATAAAACAAAAATGGTTTATCATGTGTTAATAAACCAAAAAGATAGGTACAAGTACACATAATATACTTTTGCCATTTAATTGGTTTTTTATTGTTTCATTTGTATACTTTTAGATAAACTCACATATATTACAATTATTGGGTCTTAATACTAATTACAAAAACAGTTTTTTAGTTTTATAATATTGATTTCTCTGTAAAATTTAATAAAAAAAACAACAAATTTTCAAAATTATCTTAACATACAATTTAATTGTCCATGTTTCCAAAATGATTTATCGTGTATTAACCTAAAAGATAGGTTCAAGAACAATTAATATAGTTTTGTCATTCAATTTGTTTTTTATGGGCTCAGTTGCTTTTTTGTCCTTTTAGCTCAACTCACATTTTTTGACAATTTGTGAATCTTGTTAGCACTTGCAAAAACAGTTTTTTTAGTTTTATTCTACGATTTCCCTGTAAAACAACTATTTTTCTCAAATTATCTTAATATAACATACCATCTTCCATATCTATATATGTCTCGTAGGTAAGTCAGTACTAAATCACTTTTTTTATTTTAAAGTTATTATTTATTTTATTCAATTAATTTTGGAAAAATTAAAACCCGATTAGTCTTGATGAAGTCCGTATTAAGCATTGTCAAGAACAAAAATTATACTGCTAGCAGTCTACCCAATTTTGGAATTTTTGAGTAAATTAGGCGAAAATAGAAGAAGTGTGTGACAGCAGTTTGTAGGGGCAAAAAAAAGTACATAAAAATACTATGCTCTATGCCATCGACGTACCATTTATGACTTTTAAACAAATTTGAGGATTTTTATTTAAAAACAAAAACATCTCCACTCGTCAAACACAGTCTTAGCGTCTTTTGGTATAATTAATATTATTTACAAAAACAACATGACAAGTATTGTTGTTACATAATTCTAGCTGAGGCACTTCACGTAAGTGGTCGGACACATGCTGTCCGTTTCTCGTACCATGCTTTTGGTCGGCGATCTGATTGCTACGTCTGTGTTGTCGTTCAGCTCGATAAATGTGAAGTTTTCGAATTCGACCTTTTTGCTAGTGGTCGTTTTGATACCCGCCGCTTGGCTGAATCCGAGGGATTTGCATAGCAAATGATAGCTCACTCCGGTGTAGTCTTCTGTCACGCACTGTGGATGCCAAACCCCGAAAGATCTTATGGCCACCGTTCCTTCGTTTCTGCGCAAAACACCACAAGGCAAGTCATGTATATTATCAAAAGGCAAGTGTTAATTATTATCGCGTGATAGTCATTATATATATAGCACTCACTCCTTTCCGGCTGGAGAAAGGAGGGTGAGACATTGCGCTTCGTCGTCCAATTCGGGACAGTCTCCTTCGCCGTCACACACCAATTCCGACGAAATGCACTTGTTGGACCTGAAGTGATTCGAAAGTATTAAACAAAAATATCAAACTTCAAATATTTGTCTAAATGTCTAAAAGGACGCCACACACGCACAACAGCGATTTGTCAAATGTAATTACGGCGCGATATTTTATTTTCTTAATGATTTATGCATTTTTAGGAGACCGGCACACTCCTACTGATTTTCTAACTTCTTTCAAGTTGAAATAAATTCAAAACTAATTATAAAGACCTATGACAATGTGGCTTTGTATTTTCCTGTGCTTTGTATAACCTGTTCCGAGCTTACCGTTATTTGCGTATATTCTAAAGATATAATATAAGTGTGTGGACGCCCTTTTAACAGCGGTTATTTTCTTACGATTGACAACGATAGACGTTTGTTCGGTTGCAATACGATTGCGGGCAACTGAAGACATTTTCGTCGCTCTTATCCAGACAGTCCCAACGTCCGTCGCAGAGCCTTTCGGGTGCGATGAGCTTCAGATAGTCGACACAGGTGTTTTTCTTGCAGGTCGCCGGTTCGTCGGTGCCGTCGCCACAGTGGTCGATGCCATCGCAGAACGTCGTTTTAGACACACACTTACCATTACGACAACGAAAACCACCAACGCCGCATACTGAAACGACATTGAATCTATTGTAATTAGGTATGAATGGAAACGATTATTTCCCCTCTCTCGGTTGTTTTTGAACCCGATATATATATATATATAAAATCGTTCTCAACTTTGCATCGAAACTCTGAAGCAAGGGTACTTTGGTTTCTTTGAAGGTTTGTTGAAACGGCTAGTGGTTATTAAGAAATTATCATTAAGCGAATTCTCTACTCACTGCACAGGGTCTCGTTTATTTTGCATTTATTCTGTCGAGCGTGACACAATTCGACCGTCTCGTCTTGTTCATCTCGACAATCCGGTTGACCGTCGCATACCTTTTCCCAAGACACGCAGTTGCCCAGCTGACAGCGTTTGCCTTCGCATCGCGGGACACTGGTGTTTGTGAAGTCATCGTCTGTAAACGGCGAGAAATCATTGAACAATTGTAAATTACAGATGTTGCGTCGCGCGTATTATACTTGCCCATGATCGAGGCGATAACGGATATTTGATCGTCGATTTTGGGAAGTTTAACGCGGGCTTTGTGGTCGCATAAGTTAAGCGGTCCCGAAACGGTTGCTGCCAAAAACAATCCGAGCTTGGAATCGCACACCACTCCTGTAATGTGGGAAATACTCGACCCCACCTGCGGTTAACAAGTTTGCGAAACAAAGGTTATTAATTAAATCTAAAATCGATAAACTATTCTACCTCGTTGTTTTCTGTTAATATGTTTTCCTATTCATGAATCAAGATTTCAGATTTACAATGTAATATACAACATTTTAATGAATAGCAGTTTTTGTTAGAAGCCCTGTGCCTTTTTTTGTGGAGCAGTTCTGTTTGCTGTCGTATTGGCACCAATAGAATAAAGCTTAAGAGAGTTTATACACCCAACAGTCATGTCCTCTAGAAAAAAACAGGTATACTGGTCTAACTCTTAAGGATTTGGTGGTAATATATAGGGACTTAGACCACACGAATTAAACTCTATGCACTTAATCCGGGTCCATACGATGACGCTAAAAATGTTATCAATCTCGACCTTTGTCATAGCAACTCGTGTAATGCATGCTATGCATGCATAATAGTTCCGAATCTGTTAGTACCCACTATTGTTGTCACGTATTTACTCTTATCTCATGGACCCGGCTTAATGCTTAAATGGGACGGAGAAATCTCGGTTAGAGGGTTATCTCTTCTGATGGACGCCCGTCCATATTATTGATCACCGTGTAAATTTATACCTGACACATCTGTGGTTTTTGGAGAACGGCAAAACATGCTTTGCCTTCGTCGCATTTGTTTGTGTCTGGCCGCAGAAGAACGCTCTCGGTCTGATTCTTAAGCGAGTATCCAACCGCATAGCACGTGTTGTTTGCCCTGAGTGTTGGCTGCCACACGGGGATACCCAAAGGAGTGACCGCTCGGCTAGTAATCGCAGGTCTTTCCAAATGAAGCAGATACAAGTCGGTGGAAGGAACATCCGACTGTGCGTCAACCCGTATGGCTTGTTCGTATGGCGACTTAATCCAAGTACTGGGATACTTGCCGCCGGCCAAAATTGCAATCACATAATTGTTATTCAAACTAAGGACAAGCCACAAACAATACTGTATAATATCGATATTATTATCGGTAGAAAATATTAATAGCGCCCAAGTATTCGTACTTTATATGAGTTTTCTGAACAAGAACCCAAGACTCATTGACCAATATTCCAGACTGTGTCAGTTTACCGTCCACTAAAATATCGACATGCCAAGACACTAGTCCAGAGTCCAATGACTTTCTCGGTCCACATTCTACATAAAGGCCTTGGCAGAAATCTCTTTCGTCCAAGTTCTTTTTTTTCTGTGAAACGTTTTTGACCAACATTTTTTTCTCGAAATATTCGGAACCTCTGAAATAATTTCAGTTGAAAGTTAACTACAAATAACTCACAGGAATTCACACTATACAGATATGTGTTTTTTTTTTTTACATAAAGTTTAGACTCGAGCAAACATCATATGCCATTTTCAAAGCCACCTTGTCTTCTACGCATTGTACCGTCCAAACGCCTCGACGATTGAAGGTTACCATTCCCGACGGATTTACCACAGGTCGACCAGAGGCGTCTAATTCCACCAGGTCCGTGCCGTTTGTGAGTATCGCTGTGGAGAATACAAGAGCTTAAGATAACATACACTATTAGGGTTTATGAGGTACACTCACTGCAGTGTTTTTCGTCGCTCTTGTCGGTACAGTCTACGACTCCATCACACCACTTAATCTTTCGAATACACTGTCTAGATAGACCGCAACTTACTTCGTCGCTTTTGCATTTGACCCCACATCCAACCTCGTCTGTGCCATCGTAACAATCTGCTATTCCGTCGCAAATAGCCGATGAATTAAACATATTCGTCAATCGCATCCGGCAGTCACAGGACTGCTCGTCGCTACCGTCTTCGCAGTCCAGTTTCCCATCGCAGCGATGGTTCAGAGGCACTATTTGAACAATTCTAAAATAACAACGAAGCAAGAAATTAACTATAAAAAATTCAACCAGTGGTCAATTGACTCGGGACAGCGATTTCCACAACTCCTAACGCTAAAAATTCGTCGATTCGACGGACAAGGATTTTTATAATGTCTATTCATTTGTTTACATTCGCTTTTACCTCCGTACATATTTTTGATGATGTTTAATGATAAAATGACAATGAAGACCTATTAGTTTTATTATTTAGTCATTGACCTTTGATTAGCAATAAATGTATAAAAATAAGGTTAGTGTTCTAGGGCCACAGTAGAACAAATAGGTGTTTACTCTTATTCTACGTTCACTTTTGTTTCCTCTTTCGACGCTTTGTCCACGAGTTAACATGTTATATATTCGAAAGAAAATGTATTTATATTAGTATTTACTTTGTACAGCTAAAAATGTCTTTGGTGAATTGATTATCGAATAACATATCTTCTAAAACAGTCGTGTTAGTCGTTTGATCGCTATTGTTTGGAGTTTTCTTGATTAACAGTGTTGATGATGTGGTTGGCATTAATTCAAACTTAATTGTAGTACTAGTTGTAGTCGTTAATGGCGTTGGTGAATTTTCTACTTTCGGTGTCGGTTTTAGTGTTGTTCTTGTTGTGGTTGTTGACGGAGTTGATGGTTTTGTTATCGCCATAACTTTAGTAGTGTTGGTAATGCGATCATCAGTATGTCCCACGCTCTTGTATCTTATGTGGCTGTGATCCGTGTGTCTAGTTAAATACATACTGGGTACATATTCTGATCCAGAAAAGTCGCAGTTCTGCTCATCATCTGCGTCCATGCAGTCTACATATTTGTCACACTGTCTTTTCTTTGGTATACACCTTTCGCCCTTTTTGCACCGCATCCCTGGACAATAGCTTAATGGACGTTCCAACGGTAAGTTTGATTCGTCTGAAAAATCGTATCGAGGTTAGATCAGGTATAACATAAAAATAAATAAAATTTATCTAGATAAAAAAAACATTTTTTTATTTTCTACCGAGTAGAAAACATGTAAAAAGTTTTTCAGTTATATCACATAACATATTTAGGGCGGTGAGCGCGCAGCAGTGGACTAACTCACAAAAAATTGAAAAATGGAGATATCAGTACCATTTTATTTAGAATTGAAACTAGTTTAATGCAAACCTAACCGGGTTTATTTTTATTTTTTTGTTTTCGCCTAGTTGGCAGCACTTTGAAAAATGGTTATTGCACCTAGTTCAGTATAAATAAAAGACCTAAATGTGGTATTACTGTCTTTTTTGTTTATGTGGGTTAGTTCTCTGTTGCACTAACTGCTTCATTTATTTTAACTAACATAATTATTTGAAGACAAAAACTATCAGGTTCTTGTAATGTGTTCTTGTAATTCTTTTTAATATCTATATGAATACTATAAGTAAGGATCTTTCTACTCGAGGGCTATCATTCCAAGCATAGCAACAATGATTCTCTTGTGTGCTATTTTCCTCTCCTTACCCTAAAAAGTCAGCTCGTTATTTTACTAGAAAACATACCGCTTGACATATTTACCCAAAGTATCCTTTTATGACAGCTTCATCCTCTACGGAAGGTTCATACTATACATTTATTGTGTATTAACCATTATTAGTCTACACCTTTTCCCGTATGAGCATTCGTCATAACCTCCTGCCTTCCTAATGTCCTTTAGTTTTTACTTAACCCTAACAAATCTGTCTTAGGAGACTTCAACGTGTCAAATAAATTAATAGATATTATAATAACGTACGATACTGCCAAATACAATGTTGTTTGTGTTGTTCTAAAAAAATATCAAATGAAAAATGCATTTTACAAATCTCACCTGTAACTTCGACAATCCAATCCATAAATAACGCCACTCTGGTGTATACGCCTGGTTCCTGTGGTCTTGCACAGCCTTCGCCGTGACTTACTACTCCAGCGACATACCATTTATTAATGTTAGTAGGTTCCTTACAGAGCAGCGGGCCTCCACTATCGCCTTGGCACGTGTCGTGACCTCCACTTAAGAAGCCCGCGCAGATCTCTTCTCCTTCCCGGTCTTCCTTATGCTTACATTCAGCAAGTATAGGCACTTCCACTTCACGCATGTTATCCGCTAAAATACACAGTATTGTAATAATCGAATATTTATTTTCTTAGCTTCGCGTTTAATAATAATTAATTACTATACTTACGGTCGGGGCCGTGTTCAACCGTGGCTCCCCAGCCTACTGCCGTGCAAAATGTACCAGGTAACGGGAACCAATTGAATTTGGTATCTGGCAAACAAACCGGTCGAACCCAACGGTTGAACTCGAGGCTGTCTTCTAATTTCAAAATAGCTAAGTCGTTCTTCATGGTGGCCTTACTGTATAAACTATGCACTATTACGTGAGTGACAGTTCTCGACTGTTCCATTGGCGAAAACGAAAACCTTCGCAAAATACCAGCCTGAACTTCATAGAAATGCTTTTGGTATCTAAAAAATATTCAAACACATTGTTCCTGATACATGACATGTTTTTAAACGTAACGCGATTGTAATTAAATAAATATAAATATTAACAAGGAGTAAAACCACGAAGAATCTAATGAATTAATATAAAATGTATATAATATTTTCAAACTCGAATAATAAAAACCAGCGCAGTCTAAACCAAGCACAGTGAGAAATTACCAAAGTGGGGTCCAGTATTCACAGATTCGTATCGAAGCATTTTCTCGAATGTGCTTTTATTATTACCTCCAAATAACTGTCTTAGAAGAACTCTATAGAGGTGCTACTCGAGTAAATTGGAAAATTTAGGAAAAAAGTTATCGTGTCTTCAGACACACAAAAATAAAAACATATCATTATAAAACTAATACAGCTATCGTATAGGTCCTAAAAAATGTATAATAGTAGTTTAATGATGTTTGCCTTACTGATTAACACAATGTGCTGCGGTCATCACCCATTTGTCATTCAATATTACTCCGCCACAATGGAAAATACCATCCTGGTATAAAGCAATAAGCCACGGCCAAGCTCCTGGATTGCTAGCAATGCCTCCCACTACTCTAAGGGTATCCGATTCGATTCTTGCGTCCCGCGAAGAATTATTGCTGTTTACGTGCGCTTTTCTTTTCATTCGATCCAGATTCGTGTTTTTGTTAAGTCTAAAACTGGACCGTACGCCACAGTCCATGGGTTTACATTCAACTAAAATTCCTTGGTATTGACATGATTCTACGATTTTGATCACGTTGTTATTGTTTATGTTGACGTAGGGCCCACTGTAGTCGGTCATTTCAGTGATATATTCTATTTTGTTAGGCCTAGAGACAAGACAAATTCAAAATTAGTTTTAACCCATCGCGAGATAATCGTCGTGTTATCGCTGTTCGCATAATACTTTGATTTCTCTCCGGTTTCGACGGTACAGGCCTGTTCGGCTAGGTCGCTTATTTGATTGCCATTACAGACAGGAAACCATTTGCCCTTCCAATTGTGGTGCAACAATCCGCTGGAATAAGATACGAAAAAATCCTGAAAATCGTACACGTGGAAAATATTAATCAGTCTCGACATTTTGATTAGACATTATTTTTTTAGGACTCACATCGTTGGGATTTTCAATTCTCCTGGACAACAATGTGCATTCGTTTTCATCATGGCCGTTCAAACAATTTTGTATTCCGTCGCAACGTTTTTCTCTGCTGAAACAAGTCGAGCGCTGACTAAAATTATCCCAGTCACCGCAACTGAACGAGTTTTCATCACAACCTGAGTGCAGATAATATAGTATTGTAGTCTACCTAACAGTTGGCAAATATAAAAAATATTTCATCATCTACCGGTCAACCTACCAAAACAACCCAATTCGTCTTCTCCCTTCGGACAGTCATAGTATCCGTCGCATATCTTATCCTTTTCAATTCTTTGCTTGCAGCTACATTGAGCTTCGTCGCTAGCATCGCTGCAATGTATTCTACCATCACACCAGTCCTGGCTGTCCACACACATGGAATTATCCAAACAGGAGTACGAGTTGGCAGGACATTCTAGAGCACCTATTTTCCAGTTCAAAAAAGATATAAGTATAGTAAATGTCTTAAATAACATTTTATAAAATATATCTATAGACAAAAATCTATTGAAAAGTCAACGGGATTGAAATTTAAGAGCAGATTTGATTGATCGCCAGTGGTCGTTCTTAATTAGTTAAAAATAGTGGAAATGTAAAAAAATAAGAAGAGAATAATACCTAAAAAAACATAGTAAAAATGAATAAGAAAAAACATACCACAAAATCCTATTCTAAAGCAGGGAGGTACTTAGTAAGTACTTATACAAAGCCGGAAAATATTTAAGATGTAGTCAAATACTTAAAAGCTTAATCCATTTAAGCTTTTCCAATTTCAATCTATGCGATGTTTGATTGACTACTGAATGGTTGACTGAATTTGACTGAAATTTGGGAAATTTATGTAATCCTTCAAATGGTACTTTTTATAGTCACTTAATGTGTAGTGGAATTCAATTTTAGTTAAGCGAAATATCAATTAATCCAAATACACCTTTAATCAAAGGTGGGCTGTTCCAGCTGTTCCAACTATCAATGTCAGGAAAAATGTTAACAAAATTACAATTAAAATATGTATTTTGAAAATATTTCTTAGTTTAATTTGTTGATCAATACTGGTAGTACTTGATAAAAGTGTCAATATATTAAAAAATTCTCGATACCTTATGCACGTATAACAAATGTTGATACTGATACAAGTAAAATGTATCTTGTATCTTTATAGAAAAACAAGCATCAATAATTACTAAATACTTCTGCCCGTATTATTACAGTTAAATAACATGCGCATTTACCTGTTAAAATTTCTTTATTATCTTCGAAGGCGCTTTTAGCGTTGCTGCTGCTTTTGGTGGGTTGATTTTTCTTGTAATTCCCATTTTTTTCTTCTGATTTTTTATCCGAACTTCTGGAGCTGTGGCTTTGTTTATCAATTGGCGCTTTGTTTACTTTTGTTGTTTGTGTGGTAAACATACAATGCAGTGTATTTGTTTGTCCGGAGAAGGCCGGCATGCGGCAGTCCATGCCCGGTGCACAAATCGACATTATCGGATAACTGTTTTGTATGACGGTGGGTTGGGCGCCAGTCGATTTTGTTTTGTGCGAGTTAAGCGATTGAGCGGAAAATTTCATGATGTTTCTGTCTGGTTTTTGTTGCTGGCAGTCCATCGTATTCGGATAGCACTGCACGGGATAGTAACAGATGGGATACAACGGCTGTTGTTGTTGTTGTTGATTATTCGGCGTTTGAGCACAAGGTTTTGTCATCGTTGCCGGGGGGTTATCGTCGTTGGATTTTTCAATTTTCGCGTCGTCGGCATCGTCAGATGACGGTGTCGTATTATCTGCTGTAACACCACCAGAATATTCGGCGGCGGTCGTCGTTTTGGCAACATCTTCATTGCCTACCGTAGTACTCGCGTATGTGATTTCTTCTTGGTCGGATCTCGCGTTCGACACCGCCGGTTTCTCACCATCGTCGTATTGACTCTGCACGGTCGTCGTTGCAGGTTCCACCGACTTGGATGTAAATCGTGCGTCGGTCGTCGATATGTCGTCCACGACCGTGGTCGCGTTGTACCGATCGGCGTTGTCAATTATCGTCACCTTGTTCGACATTGCCGCAGACATGTCCTCGTAGATTCCCGTGGTCGTGCCGTACGACGTATCTTCGTCGTCGTCGTCGTCGTCGTCTGTCTTTTTTGCAACAGACGTCGTTGGAATCGACGAGGCAGGATTGGTAGTAGGCAAAGTCGTAGTGTCTTGCTTAGTGGTCGATTCGGCGACGGTCGTTTCGCGGTCAATCCCGTCTCCGGCCGGCTCGCGATCTCGGTTTGTCTTATCCCGAGGTTGGTAGGGGGCGGCAACGTAAATTAGTTTGTTTTGCTTTTTCGGCAAGTCGGTCGTGCTTTCCCGGGTTTCCGTGGTTTCCGGATCGAACGTGGTGAAGTCTAGTATTGCGTCGGCGGTGGTCTCGTACGACGGTTCCGCCGCTCGGTTGGCGTCTGTGATTGGACACTTGCAACGGCATATGCCGTGCGCGTCCATCATCGTCAACGTCTTACGTATTTGGTTCAGCTCCTCGTAGATGTTTTTGAACTTTTCCTTCATCTGCACGCAATCGGCTATGGCCGCCTGACCTTCGCCCAGCGACCGCTTCTCCCGGTTCACGCGGGTTCCCAGTTGCGCCAGACCGTTGTACAGCCGTTTCACTTCGAAGCTCATTGCTTTTATGCCCTCGCTCAGTTCGCGGGTCACCGATATCTTTTGCTCGTAAACCTCGTCGAATCCTGACTGGAAACGTCGTATTCGTTTTTTTAAAATTCCCGTTGCCGTAGTGTTGCCGGTTAACGTGTCCGGCAGCAATTCGTACGGCTGATACAACACGTCGGAATCGTTTTTCGCGGAGTTGGTGCATTTACCTAGAACAGTCATAGTATAGTATTTTTTTAATGGGATTGCATGCGGTCGGGTTTTTTTTTTGGACGTTTTATACCAAAAAGCCAGATAAAAAAAAAATAATCGACTACTTGGGATGATTCGATTTCAATTTTGTTTTTTTGGCAACTTTACTAGGTGATGTAGGAAAACAGATTTTTGATTTTTTTCTTCTTTTATGTAAAAAATTGGGGTTTCATGTTGAAATAAAAATGTAGTTAAATTTATTTAATTACAAGAAACTGACATTTTTTAATGAAAATCGGCTTTCTACATAACATAGTAAAGTAGCCAAAGAACTCGAATCTCATTACAGAATTGGAAATGGACCTTCCTACGTCGACGTTTTGTCTGACCTTTTAGTCTAAAATAAACAAAAATGGGTTCTACCCATAGAAAAAATTATTGAAATAAAAAATGCAATAATGCAATCATGCATTATTGCAATTATTATGCAATCATTTGTTTAAGCTATGAAGCTTAAGCAAATTAACTGATAAATTAATTGTCACGGTCAACATTTATTAAAACCCCATTTTTTCTTAAATATTGCCTATACAAAACTCCTTAAAAACAGACAGGGGATTGCATGCGGTCGGTTTTTTCAGTCAAAACACATAATTTTTATTCCGTTGCGCAGACCGAACCAGTTATCCGATAAGCAATAAAAAAACAGATTTGAATTCGACATGAAGTTTACTCATGCTCGGTCAAGATACTTTTTAAAATTTTTTATTTTAAGTCTTTCCAAATTTGATTTTAAAATCTGAAATTTCATATAATATTTAAACGTGTTTTATATATAGTAAAAATAAGATATCAAAAAAGTACGTTGACCAATCTCAAGTAAACTTCATGATGAATTCATATCTGTTTTCAGATTGCTTATCGGATCATTGGTTCAGCCTGTGCGATGGAACAAAAAAGGTATATTATATTAACTAAAATGGTTTTTACTCATAGACAAAATGGTTTAAATTAAAAATAATACCATGAAGCTTATACAAATTAACCGGTCAATTAATTAACATGATCGGAATTTATTAAAACCACTTTTTTCTTAAATATTGCCTTTACAAAACTCCTTAAAAACCAACTGCATGCAATCCCTTTGAGGGGAACGGAAAGAGTCAATTTTTTACAAATAAAGACCAAAACGCGGAGTCACTTTCTGAAGTGTCTACCGAACCGATTTCAACAATTTTTTTTGTTATGTAGTTTAACATCTTCTCTATGGGGTCTAAAAGGCCGATTTTTAATTTTTATTTTCAAAAAATATTTATAAGCATATTTATTTTTACTTTTTTATAGTTTTTTTTTAATACACCTAACTACTTTTTTATTTACTAAATCAAAAATCGGCCTTTTAGCCCTTATAGAAAAAATAGTAAGCTTCGCATAAAAAGAAAAACTTGAAATCTGTCCAATAGATACGCCAGAAAATGACTTTTTATCAAACTTTCGTCATAACTCGGACAAAAATAACTTTAAAAGTATTATTATAATTAGAAAATTGTAGTGTGTGTTCACCTTGAAATTAGTAGACATAAGAAAAATGGCTATTAGATCAATTTTTGACAAATATTGCCTATCCTTTGCCTCTTAATAAAAAGCGCTTTCCGTTCCCCTTAATATTGATATGTTAGAAGAGTAGGGAAGAAGGAAAAATAGAGTGAGTGGGAGGGGTTAATGTAAGGGAGAGAGAGGAGGGTGAAGGAGCAGAATATGATTCTATCATGAGTTCTTAAAAAAAGAAAATAAGGGGAGGATCACGGGACAGGTCACGGAGGAAAGGGAAAGAGGGAAAAGAAAAGAAAAACATAACCATGATTCTCTAATTTTTCGTTTAATGGAGAAGTAGAATTTGTTATTTTTTTTTTCTATTTGAGTTACAAAAATTAAATGCAAATTTTCTCCGTTACACGGAAAAACATTGATTCATGGATATGTATTAAGATTTGATAAATGCTCATTTCCTCTCCTTTCTTCACATCCCATTATTTATTTTTTCTTACTTTTCACTCCCTTCGAATCTCCTCACTTTTCCTTTTTCTCTCATCCCCTTTCTTTCCACAACTAATGTGTGATAAGCAGCTGATAAGAAATCTGTGATAAGGCGCTTTAAATCGTCAATCTGAATTTAACATAATCTCTTATCATACGTATATAATATGGGTTTTACCTCCGTTGTAAATTTCGTCGAAGATGAAGAACGTCAACCCGCCGACGATCACGAACAAGGCAAACGCTGACACCCAGACCAGAATAAAATGTCTATTCCAAAACGTTTTGTTTTTCGTCAAAATTAACTCAAAATCGGACGAATGAACGTTTAGTAGACCTACAGCAGCAACAAAAAAAAAAAAGGTAAAATATACATTAAACAATTATTAGCTGTTAAGTATGTTTTATGAATCCACAATATCCCTTACAGTTTTATAAATGTAGATCAGTTTTTTATTTTTGTGGGTTTTCGATGTGATTATAATTTCCCTAAAAACCCGGAACAAATGTATCTCCTCCTTACACAAATTAGATTGATAATAACTTGATTTTTGAAAGGTAGCCTACAAATTTAATTGTTTTATAAATAGAACAATATCAGTTTTGGTTTATACTCGTAGTTTTCTTAATGTGATATTCATATATGTTTTCTATTTTAGTAAATGCTCTAGAGAAATCACAATTAAAAAATGGTTATCGTCCAGACGTTATTAGTAATTGAACACTCCTTTAATTAACAAAAAATGTTCATAATATACAGTTTGACATTTGAAAATTATTAAACTTGATGGAAATATTATTAACACGATTATTAAACAACTAAAACCATTTAGTATCTGTAAGTCTACAAAAAAGTAAAAATTAATGTTAGATACATATGCCGCGTCAATGTTAACCTAATTCTCTGTAATTACGTTGGCCGAAAAAACATTTGTAAAAAATTGTAAATACCCAAATACCCAAAATTCATAATTAATGTATGATGCTAGGGGAGATATACGAATTCAAAACAAACCATTTTTGAATTGAAAATTATTAACAGTTTAAAAATTAAATATTTTTCCACTTAAAATTGCGGCACTGCAACTTTTTTTTTTTAATTTGTATGGAATATTCTTTAGACAAATTATTATCCATGTACGTTGATAAACCAATAATATATTAAAAACCCTTTCCTCAGAAGGGAAGGAATCTTTTTATAGACTTCTCTTTTTTAGGTGAAGTTTTAGGGCTAAATATTAATTTAAATGATTATCTAAAATGGGGCCATAAAACATAAACGATTTTCTCAAAAAAGCTTTTTAAAATACCAAAAAAATATGGGGAAACTACTTATGGGCCGTAGTCAATTTTTAAGTTGCTATGTAAGAGTGAATCAATATTCGTCATGTATCATATATTTGTCTATTAGTAACAACGAATTATTGGTAAATGACCGACGATCATCATATATATAATCGTATCCACCCCAGTACAAAAAAAAAAAAATGTTAAGCACATTATAGTTTTCACAATGCTTTTAAACATTTTTGTATTTCTACCATATACAGATTCGCATCGAAACGTTTATGTAAAGGTAATTGTATCACTTTCAGTTTTAATATTTACTATAATCCTGTGAATTCCCTGATCCTAAAGTTCCCTTACCTTTTTTTTTTTAATTTTACTGGACAGACCAATAGTAACAATAGTTTTACAAGTTTATAATTGAATATTAAAGAGTTTTTGGGTGTGATAAAGACAAAGAATGGGGGTCCCCACACCCAAATCCGTTTTAATACAAATATGTACAAAAAATCTAATACTTCAGCTAAACATGACTCAACAATACCTAATCATAATTGTTTTATGGTATCTTATTTAAGTTAAATTGGTATAGTTGACGTAACCATATTCTATTATTATGACATCTAGAATTTATTCAGCTATTAGTATTTTTTTTTCGTGTAAGTATACCGTTAGTGTTAATAATAAAAAAATGACTAATTTAATGTTTACTATGTTTTATTTTAAAAAACTAAAAATATAACACTGTTATTGTATAATAATGTTTTTTAATTTATGTTTTACAATATTTTTATTGAGCAGAATATTCCATACAAATTTAAAACTAATTCGACTAAATGTTAAAGCGCGCCGTAATTTTAAGTTGAAATATATGTAATTTTTGGGGGTTGAGCTATTATTTTGAACCCGCCTTTAAAAAAAAAAATAATAATAATGTGCATTTTATACCTGCCGAATTGTCGAAAGTCATCGTTGACCTGGGCATAGCTTTTTGTCCGATAACGTTCATCTGCACACATTCACAAAAAAAAAAAACTAGAAAAACTTAACTTAATATTAAAATAAATAAATAACAACACCTAAAGTAAAAACATTATTTTTTTCTTTAAAAGAACTAAGCGTGGTCGCTCGAACGTCAAACCGATTAATACACGATCAAAAGACTGTGAACAGTTATTTGCTGAATTGTTATTAGTGATTTCGTAAAAAAAAAACGATGCACTTAAAAAAAAACAATACAATATCGTTTCAATACGTGAATTGCTTCATTCATTGAGCTAGACTTAAAAATCCAAATGTCTTACACTGCTAAAAAAACTATTGTATTGTCACCGAGGACGTAATTTTTCATTCGTTTATGCTATCATTTTTATATACATTTATAGTAGGTATATAAATATCATATAGTATGGAATGTATGTCCATTCCCAATAATGTGTGTGTGTATATTATACTGACTAAGGATTTTTCTAATACTACTAACGATATTGTTACACAAACATAAATAATAGTAATTACTTCATTGGTTGTTTTTTAACTACATACATTCGTTGTATACAGGTTGATCCATGAAACGCAAGACACTCGTTTTCTCTGAAAATCATTTTTATCAGAGACATTTTAGTTAATGTTATTTTACAGTATTAGTCAATATTGACATTTTAATTTTTTTTTAAATTAATATTAACAGAGTAATGGTGGATTTTTTTCTTTTAGGGTCTGGAGACATTTTATCGGATTTGAGATCAGAAAATTTGATTGGAAATTAACCTGTTCAATGCATGAAAGATAAAATGAAATTAGTCGCAATTTAAAACAAATATAATTTGCACGTGTTTTTATTTAAATTACTAAAAACGTATATATAAATCTACTATTAACTTTTAAAGATTTTATTTCGTTATTGATATTTTAAGGATTTTTAATTTGTTTTATTCACTTTATTTACACGGTAGTCTTTTTTGAGCCAGTTACATTTATTATTTTTAAGGTAATTTTTGTGATTTAATTACTCAATTCGTACTGCACAATTTTTTTGTAAGTACACCTACCCTAATAGTCGTCCATGTGTTATCACCACATACTTTTGGTACAATAGCATTTTACACATTTAACGATTTAGTACCTTCATATTTACATTTTTATAAATTATATTTTTTACAAATCAAGGTAATCGTTAACGTGTGGACGGTGGGAGATCGATGGTTTATTGTAAAATAACATATAAGAAAAAAAAAATTGCATTATTTTTATGACAGTTAATGTATTACGTTAATTAGATCACCCTGTACTTAGGTGACCGGTTGAAGTCCGAATTAAATGATCTATAAATAAAATACAAAATCGTTGTACCTACTTTTAAAATTACAACACAAACAATAATTTACAAATTATAACAAATATTTTATTATTTAATCAGAAGTCTATTTATGCGGTTTACAGTGCGATCTACCTAATAGCATTAACTTACTATTAAAGTCTAAAAGTTACTTGTGTTAACTAAATGTTTTAAATGTTTGTTGTATGGTTTTAATTTTTAAGTATTACAATTTTTTCTGTGGTGGAGGGGAGACTAAAAGGCCGACATTTGATTTAGTAATTAGAAAATAAGCTAAATTGTATTATGAAAATATAAATGCGTAAAGGACAATTAAAAAAACTAAGATGTTTTGGCCTTATAGCAACAAAAAAAAAAAATACCTTAGAAACAGAACCTTTGTGACAGAAATTGGACGAGGTGATAGTAATAAGTGTGGACGTGATGGGGATGGGATGCTAATAAAAGGAAATCGATAATCCCCGGGGCCCGGATAATAGGTAATTGGTAAGGGAATAACATATTATTCTCTATTCTTATTAGAATAAGAGCCGGAAAATCAGCTTATCGTAACACATGTTCATGATATGATGTCTTCCCTCCGAAAGAAGTATTGTTTGAGGTTTGTATTTAAATTTAATTATTTTATGATTTAAAGGATTATTATATTTATTGAGCAGAATTTTCCATACAAATTGTAAACTAATTTGACTAAATGACATTTTTTTGGTGATTTTCTAGATTTTAAAATTTAATTATTATGTGATTTAAAGGATTTAATTTGTTTACCAGTGAGGTAATCATAGTAAAGGTAGGCTGCCGTAAAATAGTAGGTTACATACTATTGTTGTAATGCCTTGTTTGGATTATCTAGTTAAAGCGTTGATTTCGTACATTGATTAGACAAAACTGTTATTATATAAAAAAAAAAAAAAATACCAACGACAATAGTACTTAAACAATAGGTACTGTTCACAATCTACATAAACGATTCATTCTAGACCTACAAATGGATTGATATCAGTTGAATAAATAAAAAATCGATTATATAGTGTCATACCTACTAATTGACCCGAATGATGTTGTTTTGTTTAATTTCAACTATTATTTACATAATAACATTACATACATACAAAGCTAGTGTATGTGCATGATATACTTGATTGTGTGCAAAACACGACAGGTACATTGAAAATGAAATATTTATTTTATTGTCCCTCTCCTCCCCTCCTGTAATATATATTGTGTTCAGGCATAAATTTAAAAGAAAAACTAAGCGCTAATATAAATTCTCCAAATACTTTCGGTAACTTGGTTTCGTATTTCTTAACGGTTGGTCAGACGTCGATTGAAAATAACTTTATATATATAATTATAATTATGATGCCTAGTCCGGAAACGAAAATATTCTCATACGTTTAGTTTTTAAGTATTATTTACACGCATTTGCAATACTTTGCACATTTATTATTGTATAAAAGTTCCATATTAATACGTTATATTCTTCGTGATAACCATCATTGATCTTCTCGATATGCATTACTTACATTATACACTTCAACAACATGGGGTTCAAAAGTTTTACAAGTTCACACATTCACCCTTATAATCGAGAAAAAACTTTTAAGATTTGTCAACTTTAGTTGTTAATATTTTTTAAAACGCCTATTGAAGATTAATTATTTTTACTTGACCGATTTGATAATCTCGAAATTAATTAAAGAATGTTAATAACGGAAAAGTTTGCTCTTTTTATGTCTAAAAAAATATTCATTACTTATTATTTATTATATTATATTATATTTACATTTGCTCATACATAGTTAACTTAACGTTTTATTATTCTAGGTAAATTATGAGTTTATGCACTCATTATTTACCTAGAATACATGTTAATAAATTGAAGTTGAATTAAATGAGTAATTTTTTTTTGACATAAAGAAGCGTTTATATTTAGACAAAACATGTATCATAAAATAATTAATTATACCTCGTGTATTACGTTCAAAGTGAATTTGTCAAGATTTAACGTATTATTTTAGACATAATAGCAGAAATTAAAAATAATTCTAAGACATTTATATTTTCTGTTGTAAAATTACTATTAGCGACAAGATATTATGCGACAAGAATAAAGTTGTAGTGTATTATCAGATAAATTGTTAAATTTCAAATTTATATCACTATCATTGAAATAATTGAGACGAGTGTGGCTAAATTAATCAAATTTAAAATAATATCATTTTTTTTTTTAAATAGGTAGTAGTAAAGATCATGACGTACAGTATATTTTTCAAACATTATATTATGAACCATATTAATTACGAAGGTAGAAGTACTCAAATTGCATTCAATATATGCACTCGACGTTTTCATTGCGAAGCAAATTTTATACTCTCGTTTGAATTAGTCCAGTCATCAATAGAAAAACAAAATATAACACACGTCATGCGGTATGCTAATACACGAGTTTAAAAGTATAAAGGTATTTGTTTTTTTAGGAACGAGCGCAACAGTTCATTGAAAATTAAAAAAATGACATATTTGAGAATAATTTGCCCTGCCTAATTGTTCTAAAACCCTATTTGACACACAAATTATGTCAAAATATATTTGTCATAACACGCTAAAATAAAAAATCTCATCATTATTTTATTTACATCAAAGTTAAATACATTTTTTTCTTAAAAATCGTATAAAAGATTAGTAATATTAGACATACGGGTTTTATGATTAAAAGTTATTAAATCACACGTAATAAAAAAAGTATTAAAAATCAATGGAAAAAATAATAAAATAAAATTGGTTTCTTACCCTATTTACTTCGTTTAATTCAGAACAGATCTTAGAATTTATACAGAATTTTGAGTTTTATTTTAAAACAGAAAAAAAATTAGAAATTTCTGATTTTTCTTTCGCAAGTTGTTTACAACTTTGGAGGTAATCAATCGTAAGACGGCTGAAACATATTTATGTAGTGCAATCGATTTTTATTTTTATAATTAAAATTATAGTTAAGAAATAAAAGTAATACATTTTATTTTTTGTTTTATTTAAGAAATGTTTTCTTATATTTCCTTCACATTGAGTATAATATTTAACATGAAACATTAAATATCACTTGAAATTAAAATTTAAATTCAATCGGACTTAACTGTTCTCAGATTATTCCTACTACCATTGACTATAATTGTAATAGCAATCTGTCAATTACTTGGTTTCTAGTCAGAAAATATTACCCAATTACATTTTTGTTGAACCGAATTAACTTTTAATGTGCGACGTATACAATTAGTAAATACTAAATAATAAATAATTTTGATAATACCGCCTAAATTTCTTATCAATCTTATCACTAATATTATTAGTATCAGTGATTGTGTCTGTTATCAATATCGTTAGTATCAGTTTCATTTTGTGAATCACGTGGATTTACATTTTTTTAACAACAAAAACAATAATAACATTAAACTCATCAAAATGCCCACATGAAGTTCAAAGAAATTAAAAATTACAATTTTTAAATTTTCGTTGTTCTTTAATTATTTTGGTTTTAACGTTTTAAAACTGTTGTTAATCATTCGTTTGGCCTGCCGTATTTAATTTGAAACAATCATGGTAAGTTTAAGAATAATTGTTATTTACCTATATATTACAATCTTATAATTATTGAACAATACATAATATTTTAACTTTGAAATAGGAATTTCGTTACTTAACTGCGTTGTTTATACATATATTAAATACAATATTGCCTACACATTTTTTTTTAGGGTAAACCGAAGCCAAATATAATGACCGTGACCCACCCAAACAGTAGGAAAACCAATCAATTGATTAAAACTAAACACAAGTGAGTTATTGATAGTCTTATTACATTTTTTTTGGTATTTTTATTTTATGTTACATTACGAGATGTATTTTTTTTTAGAATTGCATTTCGGGACAAAAAAAAATTAAACAATTTAGCCAAACCGAGTATTTTGTGTGAAAAACTTTTTTGGTTCAGAGATAACATCGACAACATTATCGAAAAATACACACCACAGTTACTGGCGACGCTGATTGAAAAGTAACGTACTTGTAATTAGTATTATAGTTAATTTTTTCAACTGAAATAGATAAATTTAAACTAATACTACATTTTACTCTTAACATTTGTCACTAAAGGGCGTGTGCAATTGTAGACTGAGAACAGATTTGTGTAGGTTAAAATTTTTTTTTTAACTATCTCATGTAAGGTGTATAATTCTTAAGTAAAAAATTGACAAATTTTAAAGAAAACTAAAATGCTTTCATTTACCGTTAAAAAAAAAAAATTAATAATCAATTCCTTTACATTGGCATTATAACAATTTGGCAAAATCCTACACGCAAACCTCTAAACAATCCACATTATATTATATCCACATTATATTTTTATCATAACCTGTTTAGTATTTAGTTTGGCATAATATTTTTATGTCATAAACAACTTTTTTTTTTAAATATGATGTACATAATCCTAAGTAATGTATCAGTATGAGGCGTATAAACCTACATGCCGCAATTTTCAATAGAAACTAAAAAAAACCTCAATTGAGTAAGTTTTGGATATATCCACGTCACATGTTTTACGCCGACGTTTCGGACTCTGTGCAGAGTCCATCTTCAGGGCAATAGTGGTCTCGACTGTTCAAATCCCGTGACCATACTAAAATGGTATAAACGGTATGTTAGATGAAAATAATATCTGTAATTTTACTTCCATTTCAGTTTTCTTATTACATTTTATAATTAAATATTGCTCATATTATCACTATATTTTAACATTGTTTTTATATACTCAATTTGTTTATGTTAAATATAAATGTTGACTATTTTCTTTTATATTTAAAGAAGTGTATTAATGTACATTTTTACTTGTACGCAGGTATTTAAATAGATTTGAACCCGAGTTGAATGTCATTAAAGCGAGACACAAGGATAAAAACAATCGAAGGTTTGCTAGCCGAGAAGACGTAATTAGACATACTATGGAAAGAGAACGACAGGAATATATCGCTGCTGGCATAGGTAAAACCAAGGTCGATGAACCATAAAATTGATACAAAAAAATGTTAATTTGCAAACAAACATTTAAATCAAAATGATATTGTATTATATTAAAACTATTAATTTGCCAGTTTTTTGGACGTTCAGTTTTCTTTGACACGACTTTTTAAAGATATACTGAATATTTAAAGCTAAGATTAAATACAAAATTGATATTAAACATTTTTTGCTTTGTGAACATGTGTCGTTTTATTTAAGCGGTATTTGACATTTTTCAAATTATATTTTAGTTTTAAGTTATATATTTAAATTATAAAAGTTTTGATATTTTTATTTTACAGAAGTACCCAACATTCTCGACGCTGGACAGTTACTCTACTTGCGTACCTGGGACGGCGACATAAGATATCTACCGAATTTTAAAATTATTAGATTTTCTATGCCAAAGTAATGTTAATTTATTTATTTAGAATCAAAGTAAACTATTAGTAAAAATATGTATGTATTATTTGATTTCTCACAAAAGTTTATACTGCTTAAAGTACGGCGTAAGTTTGAATTTCAAATACAAAAATTACCATCTAAAAATAAATGTGTAAAGTAAATCTCATTTACATTCTTAACGTAATTTTAGGCGTTAAATTTTTATTTTCATCATACAATATTTTATGGTCAAGAGTCAATAAAAGTTAGAATTTGTTAAATATTTAAACGTGAAACGTTTTATAAAAAAAAATTGTTTTGTTGCACCAATAAAAGGAATGTTTTATAAAAATGTAAATAGACTGAGAAATCAAAAATATTGTATTATGTAAAAAAATAATGAAAACAATGCCAAAAATAATGTCACCAAAAAATTGTAATATTATACAATTTGTCAATTATGTAATATGTGCAAAAAACTACAACTTCAGATTATAAAACTACATACTTATAGATTAACCCACTTGACTTGTTTAAAATACTCTTAATAGATATATAACAGTTATTAGTTAAATAATAGTAGTAATAGTTATTAGGTACATTTGTGTCTACTCAAAAAAATAACCCTAAGGCTTTAAATGGGATAGAAGCTTTTTTTGTGTGTCAATGAACCTATAACTTAATAAAAACAATTTTTATCTTGAAATATCGAGTGATTTTAAAATGATATATTTCAGCTTAAATGTTTTTTTTTTAAATTGAAAAATAATAATTAGTTTTGAAACTCCAATTAAATTAAGAACTAAAATTACATGTTAATCAAATGTAAAATAGAATTTAAGAAGGTCAAGGAAGTAAATAGGGTTCAGTTAGGTTAGGGATCTAAAACTTTAGGGACTTCTTATTTGAATAGGCTACTATCAATTTTTGGGACGGAGAGTAATTTAAAAAAATATTCTTTTTAGACACAGTCTAATATATTATTATATATTTATATGGCATTCTGAGTCAAATCACGCGGTCATCGACCCAACCTCCTCAAAACATTTAGAATTTTTTTTTATGAACTTCTTTTGGTCCTTATTCAGACTTTCATTATTTGAAATTTTTATCACTTATATTTCCCTAAAATAGAGGTCTTTTAAGTTATTTCTCACGAAAAATTTATTTCGACAAGTTTAAAAATTCTGAAATTAAATTTTTATCATAAACTCAAGATACTCAAATCAGATCCTATCGTCTAATAACGGAAATGGGTCTAGATTTTTTTTTGTAATAAGTATAACTTGTAGTATGAAGAAAAAGAATGGATTATTTCAGTTTATTTATTTAAAAAAATAAAACTTGTCTTTTTTTGAGTATTTTGGGAGAAAAAGTGAAAAATATGCTTTAAGAATAAAATTTAAAATGATATTATACATTTATTTTCATACCATTTTTCAAAACAATCTAAAATTAGTTTTGACATTAGGTACCCAGTTATAGTGTATATCCCTTCGAATATTACCCCTTATTAGCCCCTTAGAATAAACGGTATTGGCAGCACAACATACACAAACGCCATGACATTCTGTTATCAAAATATTGTTGGCCCGTTTATGGCTAACTTCACGCACATAATGTAATGGACAAATATTTGAAGAAGAATTATAATACGAAAAGTGGTAAATTTCAGTATTAATATTTCACATAAAAATCTTAACTTAAAAAAAAAACATTCAATCATCTTCTTCCTTATCACTCTCCTGTTTTTCATTTTCATCTAACAGACCCAATTCTAGCGTAGTGAGGTCCAAAATTGTGTGATTTCCAATTGTGATCGTTTTTGGTGCTTTGGGAATGTTTTAACTGGTAAACAACTGCTTCCTAGACCACATCAACGTTATGGTTGGATTTTAAAGGAACGACCCAGTAAGTATATATTACGATTTTACGTTTGGATGAGAAATAGCGTGTGTAAAAAAAAAAATTCTATTTCAATCGACGGCCCTGAGGTAGGTACGAAATTTGTCGATGCGAACAAAAATGTTAGATAGAATTACAACAATGACTGCAGTCGCTTGACACATAGTACATGACGTGGTGGCTGCGCAGTTGTTAAAGTAATAGCCTCGGTGGTCGTGAAAAAATAAAAAATAAAAAGGGAAAAAAAATTAAAGAAAGCCGGCAAAAAGTATTTTACGGTCGGCAAAGTTTTTAATATAATATCTTACCCGTGTATTCGGTCTATTTTATTACTTTACGGTTGCGTTATTCACTCGGCCTGCCGGCATGCAAAGTATATCTCCTCGTGGAGACATGACGTGGCAAAGCATTATATTATATCTTTACAGTTTAGGGGGGGTACCCCCTCCCCCCTCCCAAAAAAAAAGAAAGAAATAATGTTTATTGTTGTCTGATGAAAGTGCTAACAAAACAGTAATTCTACGTTTTTATCTTTATAAACAGTTTATACTTAATTCTAGAGTTTCTAGACTAGAAAATTCATTTTTTTACAAATATCCATGATACTGGCCTTGTAAAAGTTTTAGACAATAATTGGAGAGCTGAGTGCTAAAGTGAGCCAAATCAATTATTTTGTATTGTGAGGTTTATTTTCGCAAAATAGGCGTAAAAGTACTATCTTTCAGTGCCACAGCGAACCAAGAACTTACTTCATCTCAATGTCGCGAAATGGCAACATATATCACAGAGTAGATTAGGCGAAAAACAATTTAGGAGCTAATTACTGGATAATTAAATTAACTGCCAATAATGTGATATACCAGTACTATAATAGGTGTAAAATTGATTAGGTGTGTATAAATAATTTGAAAATTATTTTAGTTAAATTGTAACGCAAGTTTTACAAAAATAAATATTTAAAATGTATACAATCAACATAAAAGCCACCGGGTTATAATATGATGATAGTGATTTATAAAATCTAATATATATTGGTTAAATATATTAATAAGGAAATAGGTATAATATTTAATAATAAGAACTATATTTTTTTTAATGTTCCTCGAAAAAGTGAATTCTTTTCCACTTCTTCGTTCGTTGATTTTCAAAGGAATTCCAGGAATCTATTATGTCGGTTTGGTTATTTAATTTGGTTTGGTGAATTTTGTTTTTCCGGAAGCAATTTGAGTAAACTTTGTTTCAAAGACATGTACAAAATACAAAATCGGGAAAATCCTATTACGTTCTTAAATCATAATGCACCACATATAAATTTAGACAATTTAAATTACATAAATTTAAAATAGATTACATAAATTTAAAATAGAACGATAAAAGTATTTATTATTTGAATAATTGGTTAACTTATTTTTTTTTTTACACGTTTTTAATAAATACGAGTGATACTTGTTTTAGCTTCGAGCTGAGAAGGTATTGTTTTTATAACGATGCGTTTTTATTTTTTATATTTTTTGTGTCTGGATCTACGATTTCTTTTAAAATTGCTAAGCCCCTTTTTCCGTGTAGCAAGTAGCAACTCTATAGATCAGAAATCGTACCCGAAATGTACTTTATTGGGCCAAAAATTAAAATATGTACAAATTGTGTAAAATTCGACTTTTTGCAGTTAGATTGGTAGGTTCTTTGGAATCCGCCATATGTAGATATATAATAAGGCTATACCTAACATAAACGACTCTGGAAAATTTGTACTTACATTTTTTTTTTTAAGGGGACTAGTGACAGTCTTACAATTGGGTGTAAATATACCCTTGACATTTCCATTCTGAATAAGTTTTGACTTCCTCTTCATCTCTTATGTGGTGTAGTGTCGGCTTTAAGCTGTTATTATTTTCCAATATTTTAGAATAGTTGAACATTTTTTTTTTTTTTTACAAAATCTATTTTAAAATGAAACCAAATAATAAGAAAACATTTGTCGATATTAAAAAACAATGAAGAGATGATGATAAATTAAAAACTATTTTTTCAGATTAGAAATCGGACTTTGTAGGAACACACAATGATGGAAATTTCAAGGGTCGACTATTTTGTTGAAAATTAAAGCATTTATGGTTTATAGAAGTTGAAAATAATAGAAGAAAAAAAAATCAAAATAGACTCCTCCTCTTTCCTGTGTTAATATAAATGTTTACAAATTTTAGCAATCTTGGTGAAAAGATGCCTATACAAAACCCCTTAATAAATCACAGTTTTTGTAAATTCGATCATCTGTAGATTCACATCGAAGTGTTTTGTGCGAAAGTGATGTCACCACCTTCAGTAATAATAATTCATGCAGACCTGTGACCTTTCCCCCGCCCTACTGTACTGGCTTTTTACTATAACACAATACAGGGGACGAGGTACGGGTTGCGTGTTCGAATACATTACAATATATCTTTATTATCATATATCTGTATAATATATATTATATGTGTGTGGAATTGTTTCGGCTACTTTCTTTCGCCTCTGGCCGTGCATCCATCACGGCCGTCGAAAATAAAAGAAATTGTTTTCCCGTCGCGTTTTGTGCGGCCGGTCCGATAAGACGATTTATATATATATATATATATATAAATGTTTCTATAGAAGAAGTAAGTACGACACTCACTCTATAAAGTCCGGCCCGAAGGACCATGATATGTGCACCTCAGCCTCTCCGCAACAACCCAGGGCGAAACGCTAGAGAAATAGTAGTAAGTAGTTGTGTGTGCTCCATGTCCTATACGTTCCACACACATATAGGTACACACATTGCACACCCAAGAGCGAGGCACGCGGCTGTTGTTGTTGCTGCCCTCGCCGGCGAGACAATGAAAAATGCCGAGTTCGGAAAAACGCCCGCATAAATCGTTTATTTTTCCCGTTTCCGTTCGCTTTCTCTCTGTCGCACTTGTTTCTCACCCTTTCTTATTTTCCTCGCATATACGACCAAACCGTATTGTCGTAACCGAGAAATCGAATGTGTTTTATTACTGTTTTACACCATCGAAAGGGCGATACAAACACACACACACAAATACACCCATAATATATATACAGGACGTCACGTAACATTCAGGATGCTATATGGGTACAAAAAATGGTATTAATTTTTATTTTTATTTTAAAATTATCAAAAATAGAACTCGTATCTCATTAAAAAATTGTCTTTTGAAAAAAATAATGTCAGATTTGAAATCGGGAGAAAAAGTCTTGTTGAATTGTTATGTAACACGATGT